TCAGGGTCCTACACCTGGGAGGAGGCTCCAAAGAGCTGGACCCCCCTGGCTGGCAGAGCAATGACCAAGGGCAGGACAGACCATACCCCCAGGGGTCCTGGTTGGAGCTGGACGCCTGTACCACCAGACTGAGGCAGGGAGCTGGCAGAACCCTGGAGAGGCAGCTTTGTGGCATCTGTGCACTGATGCCTCCACCAGCGCCCAACCCCTGCTCTTCCTGCCCTCTAGACTCTGCAGTGGGAGCTCAGGGGAAACAGGAAGGCTTCAGAGTGCCCACCCATATCACCCCCATGCCCCAGAGTCCTGGAGGTGCTCCCAGGCCCCACACACCCACCTCCTCCAAGAAGCCTGCCCAGATAGCACCCCTACCATTCATGAGAGGAGGACCCGCTCTTCTACCCCAGGCCTCAGGGAAGGGGCTCCCAGAACAGCAGCAGGGCCAGGCAGGGCCTGTCCAGCTTCAGAGGTTCTGGGCCTCCCAATTTTGGAGGCCACCCCCCAACACCACAGCACGTGCCCTGAATCTGCCCCCACTTCCCTCCTGCATAAACCTGGCTTTCTCTTGTAAACGTTTTTGAAAGGAAATTTCACTCTTTTGCTTTTGGACATTTGGGGCCATAGGAAATTCATTTAATTTACAGTTGTCGGAGTTGTCTGGGGTCATCAGCATGCTGGGAAAACCTGGTAAAGTGAAAAAAAAAAAATCCACCCCACCAATTATTCACAAATGGAATGATCTTATTTTAAATTTTAAAATCACATTGACATGATGTTAGCTTATGTAAACATTTAATTGCATCTCCATGCAATTTGATTGTGCCATCTTCTTTTTGTATTCTGGAGACAATGTTTTCCTGAGTGTCAAACTTTTTGGAATGCCCCCAAGAGGCCTGGCCTGGTGCCTGTGGCTGGCCAGCCTGGTTAGCTGAAGCTCCACCCAGGTTCTGAGTGAGACTCTGCTACTGACCGGCTGAGACTGGGCAGGCCCTGTCTCCCTTAAGCCCTGGCTCTCTGTGGGCAGGGCCGAGGGGCTGGAGGCTTTTGCTGATTTGGAGCTGATGTTCATATTCCTGGCACTTCCTGGGCACCCTATAGTGCCTGGCCCGCTGCTGCCCAGGGCTTTGCATGCATCCTTCATGACACGTCCCAACCACCCAAGAGGCAAGTACCATCGCCCCCATTTTATAGACCAGGAAACAGGCTCGGAGAAGTTAAGTGACTTGGGACTAGAATCCAGGGTGGCTTCAAGGGAGAGGGCCCAGAAGACCCCCCTGGTGCCGGCACACAACCAGGCCTCTTGCTGCAGGGGGCCAAGGCCTCAGGGGACTGGGCACAAGCTGAGTGGGTCGCTGCCCTCCATCCCTGACCTGGGCCCCCCCACAGACCAAAATCTGCCAGAATGCTGGGGCAGGGGAAAGCAGTCCACCCAGTAACAGGAGGCCCCCAGCGTCAGAGGCCAGGTTGGGAGGATCAGGGCCTGGTCGGCTTGCAAGTGTGGGAAGAGGCTCTGCGGCTGCCGGGGCCTGGCCAAGCTTCCGTCCCTCGCGTGTGCAGGGTGCTCCCTGAGGCCGTGCTGAGACTTACACACCCCGAGAAGCCGAGCGTGGTGGCCATGAGGAGTTTGTGGATCTGAGGCCTAGTGGGTGCAGGAAGGCTGGGAAACTGACTTCTGGAGGCTTCTTTGGCGCCAACCTTAGATACTGTCACGGATCCGGAGGGGTGGGGAGTCACTGGGTGGCCTTTCCCAAGCCAAATCGAGAATCCTTTATTCTGTCCTCCATGTCCCAAGAGGCAGCCCCAACAGCCCTGTTCACAGCCAGGGAAGCTGAGGCTGGGGCAGGCTGGCATAAGAAAACTCAGGAAATCCAGGCAGCAGAAGACAAGCCCGCCCTGGCCGTCCACCCAAAACCAGGGAAGCCCTTCTGCATTCAGGCCCTATCCCTTCCCTGGGAGCCCCTGCCTGGAGCGGACTGGAAGGGCGAAGGACCCAGGGAGAATGCAAGGCTGGGCGGGGCTCAGAGGATGGGGCGGGAAGGGGGTGACCCCTGGGGGCACAGGAGTGGGATAGAGAGATCCTCCCAGAGTAGGGTGGGGGGACTGGGCTCCCCAGGGAAAGAGGCTGAAGATTCTGCCCCCTCCCTCTTGGCCTTCACTGGTGCCCATTGGACAGGTCCTGGCTCTGGAGGTCAGGGCTAGGCAGGAGCCTCCCTCGGCAGGTTGGGCCCAGGGAGGGCTCCCTGGAGATGCCACACCCTGCAGGGGATCTGCCATAAGGAAGGGGGCATGGCCATGCCCTGCCGGGGCTTGGGTCCAACTGGCTGACCAGAGCCACACCCTCCCCACCCCTCAACTGCCCTAGGACTCCTTGGGCATTGGTGCTTGCCAGCACTGATCCGAGGTGCCTCTGCCCAGCTTGGGAGGCACAAGTTGAGACCCATCGGTCTAGAGACCCTGCCAGCCGCAGGTGGGACCAGCACCCTCATCCCTCAGGGGCTCCAGACCTCTCCTGGCGGGGCTCCAGGCCCACCTGGGCCGTCTGGGCCAGGCCAACTCACCTCCAGGCCTCTCCTGGCCGCTCCTTCCCCTTCCTCCCCTCTCCTCCTGCCCCTGCTGGCGGATGCCTCTAGCACCCCCTCCCTGGCTGCACCTCAGCCCCCCAACGCCCCCACCCCGTCACCCACTGCCTCCCGCACATTCTCCTCCCCACCCCCACTCCTTCCTGCTCCCCAGGCAGTGGTACCCACACTCCCAGGCAAGGCTGAACCCAGGGACCCCCCGGAAGTGCTTGTTTCCTGGCGTGGTGGGAGACAGGGATGGTTCCCGAAATGGCCAAAATTGAGGCTAAAAATCGCTTAGACTGGGGGCGGCATGCAGGTGCTCCCTATAGACACACCTGTGTCCCTGGGCCGCCCACTGCCGAACAGAACAAACCTCTCATCCCACGCAGGAAGCAGGCGTGCTCTCCGGCCAGAAGGTGCGCCTATACTAGGCCAAGTGTCCGCCTTAGCTGTCAACCCCAACCCAGCCTGCGGCCAGAGCTGGCTGGAGCAACTCTGCAAAATGCTGACCACCAAGTGGGGAGCGGGGGTGCCCTGAGTCCACACACACCCTGCTCCTCCCCAGACTTGGACACCTTTACATGCACAGCTCTGGGCAGCCATAGACTAAACTGGAGGGCCACGGTTCTGAGTTCTTGTGGGGGGCTCTGCCCTGGCCCTGGAGTGGCTGTGGCGCAGGAACAGGAAGGGTCTGGCTACCATCAAAGGGCTTGTTTCAGTGTCCGTGCAGGGCTGTCTCAGGGCGGTGTCCAAGTTCCCCCCTGGGTCCTGTGGGGCTCTGGGGGGCACACACACGATTCCGAAGCCCGGGTCACAGGCTTACACCCAGCAGGTCCAGCCAGGCCAAGAGGCTCTGGCTTCTGCATTCCTATAGCCCTGGGTCGTGTGTGGCAACACTAATCTTCATTGTGTTGAGATTTCCGGGAGACCCCAGCAAATCCCTGAACCTCTAGTCCCGTATCCTGATCTGTAGACACACAGCGAGATGCTCATGAGGCTTTCACGCAGGTCCTGGTGCTGAGGTTTTAATCATTTTTGTTCAGTTTCACAGCAGCAGCCCCTGTGCCCCGCTGAGAAGTTCTGCAGCGGTCCAGCCCCCTTATGCCTTCACACTCTCCAGCCTGCAGGGTCTGCCCTAGGCACATCCAGGCCAACCTCAAAAATCAGCAAGAGGGGCCGGGCGCGGTGGCTGACGCCTGTAATCCCAGCACTTTGGGTGGCTGAGGCAGGCACATCACGAGGCCAGGCGTTCGAGACCAGCCTGGCCAACATGGTGAAACCCCGTCTCAACTAAAAACGCAGAAGTTAGCCAGGTGTGGTGGTGCAGGCCTGTAATCCCAGTTACGAAGTTGACTGAGGCAGGAGAATCACCTGAACCCGGGAGACAGAGGGTGCAGTGAGCAAGATCGTGCCACTGCACTCCAGCCTGAGCAACAATGCGAGACTCCATCTCAAAAAAAAAAAAAAAATCAGCGAAAGCGTGGGGGGTGCCAGGGCCAGTCTGCGCTCCCAGTCCTGCCCCTCCTGGGCCAGCCTTAGGGTCAGGGGTCACTAGGGCGACCTGCCAGCTGGAATTTGATGAGGCGTTCACTCCCCTCGCTGGGAAGAACGCCCTCGGCCAGAGGTGGCCAGTGCCTGCCTCTGGGAACCCCCAGGCCAGACGCAGAGGACGCAGCCCCCCCACTCCGGGGAGCCTCTCCACCGCGGCCGCCCGTGCGTGTCCCTTCCCCAGCCCTGGGCCGTCCCGCGGCTCCGGTCCAGCCCGCCCGCCCTGGGCCTGCTTCCCCGCGGACACTCTCGGAGAGGCCTGGCCCCGAGGCTCGGAGCGCCTGCGTCCGTCTCCGAGGTCCCGGCCTCTCCGGGGGCCGCTCTGCGGGGAGGGGAGGGGAGGGGAGCCGTTCGCGGCCACGAGCGAGACCCCCGGCAGGGCGCGAGGCCCCGGACCCCGCGGAGCCGCCGCTTCCGCCGCGCTCACGCCCAAAGCGCCTCGCTGCGCCCGCGCCGCCCAGACGCCCCTGCGTCCTAACGGGCCCTCGCGCCGGCGGGCGGCCCCCGCAGCTGCGCTTCCTCCCGGCAACGCGTCCGGCCGCGGCGCCCTCATTGGCCGCACGCCCCGCCACCGGCCATTGGGCCGCGGTGCCTGTTTTACATAGGCCGCTCTGGCCAATCGGCGCGCGGCGCCTACTTAACATGCACGGCGGCCGCCAGTGAGCTCGCGCGGGGGCCGGGCCACCACGTGCTGTTGCTAAGCTCGGGCTTCTAAATTGTTACTAGCGCGGCCGGCCTATCGCAGCCCGGCTCCGCATCTGTCAACATTCTCGGCCCGGCCCGAGGCGCTCGGCCCGTCGCCATTGGCCCCGGCCCGGCCCGGTGCCCGCCCCCGGAGCCCGAGCGCCGCCTCCCATTGGCTGTGCGGGCCGCCGCTCGCCCTTATGTGTCAATTTGAGGGCCCGAGGCGGAGGGTGGCGGCCGAGCGCCGGATTCCGCGGAGTCTGGAAGTGCGGCGGCCGGGCGCGCGGGGCGAGCGGCGAGCGGAGCCGGCCGGAGCGGGCCGGGCAGCGGCCGCCGCCGTCCCGGGGCGTGCGGGCGGGCGCGGGCAGGAGGATGGAGCTGAACTCCTTGCTGATCCTGCTGGAGGCGGCCGAGTACCTGGAGCGCAGGGAGCGAGGTAGCGCCCGCGCCCCATTGTGCGCCCGCGGCGATGGGCGGGCGGAGGGGCCGGGCCGGGCGGGGGCCGCTGACCGCGCCGTGTCCCCGCAGAGGCCGAGCACGGCTACGCCTCGGTGCTGCCCTTCGACGGCGACTTCGCCAGGGAGAAAACAAAGGCGGCCAGCCTGGTGCGCAAGGCCCCGAACAACAGGTACCGCCCCCCGCGCCCGCCCCCGCCCGGCCCGAACCCTCGCCCCCGCCCGGAGCGTGCTCCCGGGGCCCCGATTCCCGGCCCGCGGCCCTCGTCGGCGCCGCCGCCGCCGCCGCCGCGCGCCCCGGCGGCCAGCCTGGAGGAGGAGGCGCGCAGGCCGCGGCCGCAGCCCCGCCCGGCCGGCCCCGCCCTCGCCGTCGCCATCTTCCCGCGGCCGCGCCTCCCGGGCCGCTCGCGTAAACAGTGCCACGCGTACAGCGCCCGCCGCCGGGGTCTGCTCCCGCGCCGGCTCCCGGCCCCCGAGTTGTTCTGGACTTTTCCAGGCGGTTTAAAAGTTGTCAGCGGGCGCTGGCCGGTGCCCCGTGGGTCCGGGGAAACAGGCTCAGCCAGGGTCCCCCGGGGCTGCCGGCCCTAACCCCTTCTCTGCCGGGTGGGTGGGCGGCCTTTCTCCGACTGGCTCCTGGAGCCGAGCTCTGCTGCTCGGCCGACCTCCTCCCGCCCCCGGGAGCCTGGACGGAGAAGGCGCGTGGAGACGCCGTCCTGGGCCCCACTCCTCGCAGGGCGCCCACCGGCCGTGCACAGCCTCCTGATACGCCGAAGGTCCAGCCACCAGTGCGGGGGTCCCCTTTTTTAGGACAGGAGGTTTATTTGGGGGAGGGGGAGGCTGCAGGGCAAGGGCCCCATGAAGTCGTTACTCTACCTTGGCCTCGTGTTCAGGCTACAGAAGCCCCGGAGCTGGGGTGCGTGCAGGTGCGCGGAGAGGGGGCCCTGGGCTGGGCTCCCCTGGGATTTCCACCCTCCTGGCTGCGGAGGACCACGGCACACCTGACCCTGTCCGCGCCCACCCTAGCCCAGCCCTTCCGCGTGAGCAGGCTGGGAGCTGCGTTTGCAGGGGGCTTCAGGGCCCCTTGGTAGAGGGCATGGCTCATTTCGGTAGCCTGCGTGTTCTGGGGAAGCAGAAAGGCTGGCGCAGGGACCCATCTCCGTGGCGTCCTGAGCCTGGCGAGGAATTGGTGGAGTCTCTGGCTGCCTTGGCTGGAACCTGTCTCTGAGTCCCAGCCCCTTGGCCTCCTGTTGGGGACAGTTTAGGGAAGGACAGGAGTGTGTCCAGGGGACCATTGCCTCAGGCCTCCTCGAGCAAGCCCGGCCCCTGCTGCTGCTTCTCACCAAACCCAAGTCCGTGACCCATGGAGAACTCCGGGGTGTGACCTGGGGCTCCCCCAGCGTGAAGTGCTCAAAGCTGCCCACCAGCGTCCTAGCGAAGGCTGCACAAACACTGCCTCTATGCTGAGCGTTTCACAAGTGCGACCACTTCGTCTTCATCCCAGGCTCAGAGAGGTGTCCTCCGCCGTGCCCCCCAGGCTCTCTGTCGCCGGGCTCGAGTGTAGTGTCGCGATCTCAGCTCACTGCAACCTTCACTGCCCGGGTTCAAGTGATTCTTCTGCCTCAGCCTCCTGAGTAGCTGGGACTAGGGGCGCGTGCCACCACGCCTGGCGAATTTTTTTGTATTTTTAGTAGAGATGGAGTTTCACTGTGTTGACCAGGATAGTCTCAATCTCCTGACCTTGTGATCCACCTACCTCCACCTCCCAAAGTGCTGGGATTACAGGAGTGAGTCACCATGCCTGGCCTGTTACTTCTCTATTTATGGCCAAGGAAACTGAGGCAAGGAGAGGTTTGGTTACTTGCCTGCTACTCACCCACCTCTGATGATGCCTCTTCCTGAGATGGGGTCCTAGCTGCCCACATTCTGCTGGGACAGAGACCTTGTGGGCACTGGTGAGGGAGGCAGAGGGCTCCCCAGCTGGGATGCGTCTCCCCCTGGCTCCTCTGGGCCGAGCCCTGCTCCCCTGGGACCTGAGGCAGCCCAGGGCTGGCAGGCTTGGCCCCTTTCTTGGTGGGCAGCACTGCCCTGGAGGCTTTCCTCAGCCAGCCCAGACAAGGAGCTGGGCAGAGCAGGGGCCAGAGGGTTTCCGAGCCCCTGACTTGTCCCCACTCGTGAAGCTTCCGTGTCCTGCCAGGTTGAGGGAGGGGACGCACAGTGGGGCTGGGGCAGGGGGTAGGGAGTGCAGCAAGCGGCCAGTGTTGGGATTGAGGGAGGCAGCAGGGTCTGGGGCCAGCCTGCAGGGGGTCCATTCTATAAGTGTGCTTGCCTCCTGGGGTCGCGGGGGGGGGGGCTGGGAACGCACTTGGCACAGCCTCAGCGGGGATGGGTCCCACCTCTCCTGAGTGCTCTTGGGACCCATGTCACAAACATCCCCCTAAATGGACCCCAGGGGTCTCTGGGCCCAGGAGGAGCTACAGGGGGTTGATGGGGTGCCTGACTGCTGGAGGAGTGCCTCTGCCTCCAGGGTGGGGTCCAGCCCCATGCCACCCTTCAAGGGGAGGGCAGGTAGGTTTCTTTACGTTAAAGGGCACCTGCTGACTCCGACCTCCTTCCTGCCAGCGGACAGGCAGACCCTCATGGCCAGGCTGCAGTTTGGGCTGAGGACAGAGCACGCTCACTCCTGTGGCCTGCCTGTTCTGCGGAAGCAGAGGCTGGCTCAGGGCCCCCCCCTCTCTGAGGCCAGTGAGGAGCATATGGCTGTGGCCTCTGCTGGCTCCGGCTGGCCCTGGCAGTGGTTCTGAGGCTCCTGGTCCAGCCCATGTGACCAGCAGGCTCTCCAGGACCCTGAGACCTGGGTCTGGAGGCTCCACTGAGGCCACACAGGGAGGCTCAGGGCCTGTTGGTGCAGCGGGTGGGAAGGGCAGGCACTTGGCCTAAGTGGCAGGGACGAGAGATGCCAGATCCCAAGTTCCTGAAGCATGCAGGGGTCAGCAGAAGCTTCTGGAAGGAGCCAGGAACTAGGGGTAGGGAGAGGCCTCAGGGCTAGGTCTGGAGGTGCCCAGAGGTGGCCTGAGCTCTCCCCCACCTGTGAGCGGCATCCCAGGAGGCCCAGGAGCCCTGGCTGGCCTGCGGGGTCCCGCCGGGCCTGGGAACCAGGTGGCCTGGAGCTTGGGTCCAGGTCTCCCCGCCTCACTGTCCTCCAGGGCAGATGGCGTGGCGCACCCCGCAGTCCTGGGGATTGTGTGCCTGTGTCAGAGTGGGCCAGACAGGTGTGTAGTAGGTGGAGCCGCTGTCCCCAGAGAGGCTGCGTCTGGGCTTCCGGGGTGGCCTGTCCGGCTAGCACACAGCACCCGAGGGACGTGGGACGGCTGGCCTCAGTGTCCCCTGTGCCACTGGCCTAGGAAGCATCTACACCTCCGAGGCCCCGACCTGGCTGGGACTGCCGTGTCCCTGGCCCCACTGGTAAAGTGGGTTGTGGTCACACAGGCATGCGACCCCGATAGGATGGCGGGTCAGGACATGACCGCCCCTGTCCTGAGGGCCTGCTCTCTGGGCTGCATCTCCACCTGCCGACTGTCCTAGGTGCAGGGCCCCTTTGGCTCCGAGGACACCGCTGGCTTCAGGGACTGGGGAGCGGGGAAGGCAGACGGCTGGGCGGGTCAGCACCAGGACCTGCTGCTGCTCCCTGGGCCTCCCCCGGGCCTCTGGAAGGGGGCCTGGGTCCTCCGTCAGCCAGAGTCCCCATGGACCTTGCTGTGCGCCCTGGACCTGCCTGCAGCTCCGGGCCTCCCTGTCCTCGTGGCTCGATGCATGGTTCCCCCCGCCCTCGGTGGGCAGCTGCTCGCCTCCCCAAGCCCTCACTGTTCCGGGCCATTCCGGGACCAGACACAGCCAGCAGCCGCCATGTGGAGGGGGCTGCTCTCTGTACCCTGGTGGTCAGGCAGCAGAGTGAGCTCTGTCTCTCTGTCTCTCTAAACAGGTCTTCACACAACGAGCTAGAAAAGCACAGGTAAGTGACCCCCAGCCCCTCCACGAGCCCAGCGCCTGGCCCGTCCCGTGCTGAGGGTACGTGGTGTGCTGAGCCTGCCCGTGTCCCTGGCATGGCCGGCTGTGCTGCCAGGCTGTGTCCTAGTCTTGGGAAGGATCGGGCTTGGAGGAGGAGGTCTGCTTCAGGCACTCTGTGCTAGAGGCAGGAGATGGTGGGAGACCGGTCCTGCTCTCCGGAGCTCATCCAGGTGGGGGTCAGAGACGTGGACAGGGGCCCCGTGGTGTGTAACCGTCAGGGCCCTTAGCTTTTGGGATGATGGGCTCCAGTGGCGGGGGGCTTTGGTGCTCTGCCCTGTGCATTCTGGGGTCTGCCTTCCGGGGAACTGCACTAGAGTCTTGTCCGGGACTGGAGGGCCGTCAGTCCCTGGCCTCCTGGGAAGCTCCGGCCCAGGGCAGGGTTCAGGGGAGCCCTCAAGTGAAGCTGCGGGGTGTTCGTCCCCGCAGGCTGCAGGCCCAGCTCTGCCAGTGGGGGTGAGGTGCAGGTGTGCTCTCTGCTGCCAGCGAGAGCCCTGGCTGAGCACAGAGGCGGCCCTAGAGGCAGGAGCCCCATACCAGGAGCAGACAGAGCCCCTGAGGGATGCTGGGCCATCACCCTCCTGACGTGTGATCCCGTCCGTCCGTGAGATGGGTCAGCTTTTCCCTGCCTTCCTGGTGGGGCGGGTCTGTATGCTGGTTCAGCCCCCCCACAGTCTGCTTTGGAAGGGTTTGGTGCTCAGCCAGGTCTCCGCCTCCCCCCGATGTCTACCCCTACAGCAGCGCCAACTTCCGCTCCCGCGGGATTCGGGCCACTGGCCGGGGTGGGCGGCTGGGCAGGGACAGAACGCTGTGTTCTCTGAGGAACTGCACTTCCTGGACGGGTCATGTGTGTTTGGGGGTTCCCTAGAGGCCACGGAGATGGGGGCAGGTACAGGGCCCACGAGAACCAGGCAGGCCTGGAGTTGTTCCCAGTCTTAAGGAGACTAGTCTAGCCTTGACCAGGACCCAGAAGCCAGGTCAGGCACGTGGGGGTATTCAGGGAAGGCTTCCTGGCGGCGGTCCCTGGGAGGACAGCCCCCCAATGGGGACAGGCTGAGGAGCAATGACATTGAGGTGAGTGAGTGCCAAGGGTGTGGCAGCCCTTGGGGGAGGACAGGGACCTGCCCCGGGCCCCTGCAGATGCCCCTTGACCTGGCCTTGCCCTCTTCCCTTTTCTGCCAGAGGCTGTGTTTAGCCTGGGCCTCATGGGGCCTTTCTGAGACACAGGAGGGATGGGTGGATTGCCGGGGTGTCTCTGTGGGCTCTCCTACCCTGTGCAGGGGGTCTCTGTTTCTGGCTGGCCAAGAGGCAGGTGTGGACAGCCCCACAAACCCACAGGCCTGGAGCTAGGGCCAGATCGCAGCCTCTCTGATCCCGGCTGTTCCTGGCTGCAGGAAGGGCTGCATGCTGTCTTGCGGCAGGAAGGAAGCCCCTGGCTGGCCACCCAGCCGTCCCGGGAGGCAGGCCCTGGACAGCACTTTGCCCAGCAGCGCCTCCTTACTGGGGACTGGGCTGGGCCTGTGGGACTTCCCCTTGTGGGTGCTCTGAGCCAAGCCTGCCCAGCCCGGCTGCTCCTCCTCCCTCCTTTGTCGAGAGGCAGCTCCAGCAGGTCTGAGGCCGGCGCACCGCTGCCGACCCAGGCCCAGGGGACTGTGAGGCTTCGCCTTCTTGGCTGCTGACCTCACAGGACCCGCTCCAGGCTGTGGTCCTAGTGTGTTTGGGGGGAAGGTCCCAGCCTTCTTTACTGGCCGTCAACAGCCCCTGGATGGCAGGGTCCGTCCCAAAAGCCAGTCCAGAGTCCTCAGCTGAGTCCCGCCCCACACTCCCTAGCATGTCCATGCGGGAGGCCGAGGAGCCCACCGCAGCCCAGCCTCACACGGCCTTCCCAGAGCCTGGGAATTTCTGTTGGCAACATGTGGAAAGCGCAGGCAGACAGAGGGAGTGGGTGGCACGCCAGCTCCTGGGCCACCCCCGGCTCCCCGTCAGCGACAGCCAGGCTTTCTGGTTGGCTGGGACGCTGGCGTGGAGCCATGCCCTCTCAGTGCCCCGGGTCCTCCTCCAGGCGTGGGGGTTCTGGGGAGGCTGGGAGGTGCTGCATCAGAGGTGGGGCTGCTGTCAATGTCAGCCCATCGCGACCTGGTCCTGCAAGCAGGTTCTGCCTCCGGCCCACACAGATTCCTTCAGGAAGTGGGGTTTTAACAGCCTCTTGGAATGGCCCGAGACAGCTGTGGGTGCTGGCGAGGCCAGGGCGCTGCAGCGGCGGGAGGCAGTGCAGCCACGGGCTGTGGGGGTCTTCCTGGGGTCCCACCTCCAGCCAGTGGCAGAGCTGGCTCCAGGCTTGGCCGCAGCCTGCCCCGTCACAGCCACCTGCTGCCCAGGGCAGGAACTTCTGTGGCCTGCAGCCGTCCACCCGCCCTCCTGGGCCAGGAAGACCTGTTAGCGGGTTTTGGACTGTGTGTGTATATGTGTGTGTTTGTGTGTGTGTGTGTGTGTGTGTGTGTGTGTGTGTGTGGGGTCAGATGGCTTCTGTCTGTCTCTTGAGAAAGGTGTGCCGTGATTTCTAAAGCGGTCTGTTCACGGACCTCCCCTGCGCCCCACCCCAGAGACCGCATCCCGGGCCCTCGGAGGCTGAGCTACATCCTCCGCGCTCCCCACGGGCACTAACATGCCGATGAGACTTGGATAAGAAGGGGACCTTGTTCTCCATTTCCTCACTTGACCTTTCACCCGACACCACGTACGTAAGTCCTGTCCACCCGGGTCAAGGCACGCTTCTCCACCTCCTCATCCCTGATGACCGCACAGGACACCTGGCCGTGCCGCCTGCGTTCGTAGCGATGACCCTCTGGTTAACACAGGTATTTCCAGACGGTGCTGCGGTGAGCCATGGTGGGCACGGGCCTTTGCGTATCTGGAGGGATAGTTTTGTAGGACCAAGGCCCTAGAAGTAGAGAAGCTGTTGGAGGTCAGTGCTGACTGTGCGACGGCCCTCCAGACCTGTGTCCCCTTCTGCTCTCCCACCAGCAAACCCTCAGCGATCCCTCGAGCTGGCTGGCGCGGGAGCCACCCCTTCCCGCTTCAGCCCGTAGGAGCGTGACAGCCGTGTCTCCTTGTCTGCGCTCTCATTCCGGGCTCTGGTGAGGTGGAGTCGGGTGTCAGGTTAGGTTGGCCCCCGTGTTCCGCAGCTTTCCTGTGTGTGGCCTGCGCCCGTTGTGACGTCGAGGCATTCTGCTTTTGATTTTTGATGGGTACGAGCTCAACGTATCACGAATACTAACCGTTTGTCTTTTATATGTATTGCAAAGACTGTTCTACTTGTTATTTGTCTTTCAGCTGTGTTTTTCTCTCTTGTGCAAACGTGTCTTTTTCTGATTGTCACAGCAATGTGTGTTGTTTTAGCCTAGAAAACCTGGAAAATACAGAAAAGCACAAAGCTAAAGAAATAAAATTGCCAGGCGCGTAGCCTGGAGACGCACGCTCCCTGTGCCTCCTTGTGTTCTGTCCGTCTCTTGTGTGCGTCTGCTCTTTTGTTTTTTAAACAAAGTTGGGTCACTTGTCACCTGTGTGGGTCTGTATCCTGATTTTCTCCCTTGACATTCACGATGTGCGCCTGTCAGACACTAAAATGAGAATGAAGTTGTTTGGGGTGGTGGAGCTTGGGGGGCTTGTAGTTTTTTTCCTTTTTGTTGATTTGCATTTTAAATTGTTCTGCAGCGGTTCTGTAGTGCTGATGTCATTACCTGGGGGCTTGGAAAGCGCTTTGTTACGGTGGACCAGGGAGGATCCCTCTGGCAGCATCCCACTTGCAAACCTGGTCCCGGTGGTGGCTGCAGTAGGGTGGCGGTGCGCCCCAGGAAAGGGCCCCTCCCTGCGCAGGGAGCACGCTTCGGCCTCTCGGCTGCAGAGTTCCTGGGGAGCGGGGAGGCAGGGCGCTCGCTGCTGTTGGAGGTGGGAGGCTGAGGATCCAGGCATTGGGCTGGACATGGAGCCGCTACCTGGGACCCCTTCCCCTGTGCCTGCGCACGGGAGGCAGAGCAGGAGATGCTGAGGATCTCAGCCCGGTTCAGGCCACTTCCAGGCAGACCTCCAGACCGGTGAGGCTGTTGCTACTGCACCCCACAGCCCCCTCCTTCTTCAGGTTCCTCCTCTGTCCAGAGAAAATGGCTGTTCTGCCCACGTTCCTCCCAGGGGGACAAGACTTGCTGGGCTTGGGAGTGGCAGGAGCAGACATACCAAGGCCGGGCGCTCAGCATTGGTGCTGTGTGGGGAAAGGCACACGTGCAGGCATCCGGTTGGGTGGCAGGTTTTCAAAAGACAAAAAATGTTCCTACCCCTTGATCTGGCAATTCCACTCCTAAGGATTTACCCAAAGCAGACTGTCCTGTATTTGGAAGCAGCCTGTGCAGCCTGCTCAGGATGGATGAGTCTGTGGGTGAGCATGGCAGTGCCAAACCTCCTGGTGCCCTGCACTGCCAGGCAGGTGCACACGGCTGTGGCCGGGGTCCCAGGCTGAGTCGGTGCCTCCCGGTGAGCTCGAGCTCCCCGTGAGCTCCACCAGCCTCCCCCGCAGACAAGCAGCCCAGCGGGAAGGCGGTGTTTCCGCAGGGGCAGGCCTAGGATGAAGCGGGGGTCTCTCCCGGGGCACCCGATGAATGCATCCTGGAGGATTGTGGCATGTGAGCAAGTACCCTTGAGTGTGAACAAGCAAGCACCACGAGTGCCACAGCTCCAGTTTTGTGAAAAGTGGGTTCATCTGTGGGTGCAGGGACAGAATCTGGAATGAAGCCGTTGCCAAGGGGATACGAAACTTGGGTTGGAAGGGCCTGGCCTCTGGCCCTCCTTTGACCTAGGCTGATCATGTTTCCACGGTCACAAAAGTGACAGCACTTTGTACGTGATGAGATGGAAAAATGTAAACCTTGTCTGAGTCCCTCAGACCTCTGGGTGCAGCCTGAACAGGACCCCTCGCCTCACTCCATCCCTCCCTGCACATGGACTCCAAGGCAGGCATGGGGATGGCAGGGGGCGAGCTGGGGCAGTGCCTGGGTGACGCACTGAGGCTCTGCAGGCCATGGTGAGGTGGGCACTTCTGCCGGGCATCTAGGGGACTGTGGGAGTCGGGCTGCTCCTGGGGGCCAGGGGAGTTGGCAGCCAGGCTAGCAGGGGGTCCTCGAGAGGGACCCTCAGCACATCTGCAGCAGTGGATGGTGGGGGCCGGGTCTGTGCAGGGGCTGCCCCAGACCCCTCGCCCCATGGGCTTTGCCGCCCCGGCCTGATGGTTCTGTCTCTGGCTCTTTCAGACGAGCCAAACTCAGGCTGTACCTGGAGCAGCTTAAGCAGCTGGTGCCCCTGGGTCCTGACAGCACCCGCCACACCACACTGAGCCTCCTGAAGCGGGCCAAGGTGCACATCAAGGTGAGCGGGTCTCGCCCTCCTCCCTGCCCTGTCCGGCTGCTCTGGTGTCCCTGCCTGCCTTGGGGGTGCTCACGGGACCCTGGGCAGCCCTGGGATCAGAGGGCCTGAAGGTGGGTGGGGAGCCATCTGGCAGGTGTGTCAGGGGCCCGGTGGTTTTCGCTGGGGTCTCCGCTCCAACAAACTGGTTGGGTTTGTTGGGTGCTGATGGCGTAAGAGGCCGCAGAGCAGCGTGCGCCCGGATAGGAGGAGGTGGGGCATGTTGCCTGCCGGGGCCCTGGGCTGTGAAGGGGCAGCTGGAAGGGGAGAGGGGCTCAGGAGGGGCAGGGGCTCCCTTGGTGCCATCATCAGGAGGCTGGCTGAAAGTAGACAGCCTGGTGGTGGTGCCAGGATGGAGGTAGGGGCAGCAGCAGGGCCTGGCAGCAGGTCTGGGCTAAGGGGGACATTCCCTGGGGCAGCCTCCCAAAGGACATTAGACAGCTCTGTTGGTTTGGGAGCCTTGTGTCACTTGGGCCAACCAGGGCAGGTCTCTGCCCCCTCTGAGGACCTCCTCTGCCTCCATCGGCAGCAGGAGCTTTGAAGGGGCATGCTCAGAGCCCTGGGGACCCTCACAGAGCAAAGCAATGTCTCCGTGGGGCCCTCGGGAAGGTATGGAGAGGGCAGGGCACAGGTGCTGCGGGGACAGGCATAGAATGGGGCTGGGAGTGTGTGAGGAGACCTGCTGCAAGCAGCTGTCCTGGAGAAGGTGCCAGCCAAAGGTCAGGTCGCACGGCACTGACCCAGGGTGTCACGGCCACACATGGCTCGGCTTGGCCAAGGCTGCCTGGTGGCTGCGGGCTTTAGAGCTGGGCCGTAGATGGAAACCACAGGGCTGGGAGGTGTTACCTGACTGTGACCACCTGGCTGGGGCAGGGAGTGACTCGTGTCAGTCTGTGGGGCCAGCAGAGACTGGGCACCCTGTAGCCCCTAGCCTGGCTAGGCCTTGTCACGGAGGGGGCACCTCCCAGGGGTGGGGGACACCCCTTCATGCTGTGGGCTCATAGCCCCCCTCACCCCCAGAAACTGGAGGAGCAGGACCGCCGGGCACTGAGCATCAAGGAGCAGCTGCAGCAGGAGCATCGCTTCCTGAAACGGCGTCTGGAGCAGCTGTCGGTGCAGAGCGTGGAGCGTGTGCGCACGGATAGCACGGGCTCCGCCGTCTCCACGGACGACTCAGAGCAAGGTGGGGCGTGGGGCAGCCTCGCCGGGGCCTCTGGGCACGCAGTGGCACAGCTCCCTGGGCGGAGAGGGGGGCCCTCCCAGCTCCCTGCTGCAGTCGTGTGTGTGTTCATCACCGTCCGAATGCAGACAGACTGGACGGGGAGGGTGGGAGGTAGAGGCCGACTTGACCACGGACGGCTGGTGCTTCTGAGGCTGGGTTCTTAGCTAGAGCCCTCCTGGCATCTGCTGCCCTGGTTCCCAAACTGCGCCCTCTGCGCTTCCACTCCTCTGCCCAGAGCTTCTGTATCCAGAAAAGAGATGGGCCGGCACCCTCCGCGTGGCCTGACCCCATCCCCGCTGTGTTCTCCCCAGAGGTGGACATAGAGGGCATGGAGTTTGGCCCTGGTGAGCTGGACAGTGTTGGCAGCAGCAGTGACGCGGACGACCACTACAGCCTGCAGAGTGGCAGCAGCGGTGACAGCGGCTTCGGCCCCCACTGCCGGCGGCCGGGCCGCCCCACCCTCTCATAGGCCTGTGCCCTCTGCTGCTTGGCCTGCCTGCCTGCCAGCCACGCGTGTCAGCCCTCCAGTTCTCCTTCAGTTGATGCCAGCCTCTCCACAGGCCCACTGCTGTGCCATTCTGGAAGCTCCAGCTGCCACCTGGGCTGCCTGGCACTGTCTGCTTGCTGGTCAGGGCCTGCCGAGCCACCTGCCCCTCCCAGCTGGGCAGGGTCCCCTGCAAGGAGGCAGGGCCCAGCTCCCACGCCCGGAGCCCTGGTCAGCATAGCCGCCCACGGTCTGTTCTCAGATTCCTAATCATTCCAGAAGTATTAAATGTCATTGCTGCAAACCTGGGCGGGCGCCGTGTGAGGAAGCTTAATGACCACCACAGGGAGCTCAGACCCCCAACCCTGGATCCCAGGAGAAAGGAGCGGACTGAGAAGGAAGGAAGGCAAGGCTGGCTGGCCATCTGTCTGTCTGTTCACGTAGGCTCCTGGCGTGGACAAGGGATCTGTGAAGGGCGGGACTTGGGTGAGCACCTGGGGCAGGTGGGTGGTCAGGGTCCTTCCCGCCTCAAAGGTGTCAGGGCCGAGGGCTGGGCTCTCCATGCTGGGCAGCGTCTGCTCCGGTAGGACTGTCAGACGCGCACACGCACACACCTAGGCACACGCACCTGTGTACACGCTCACACAGACACACCTGGGTGCCCTGAGGTCACATGTTCTGGGGATGATGGCCTGCAGGGGTCATCTGGCAAACAGCAGCCCCTGGACTGTGCCTGCTTCCCCCTCCAGCTCTGCTCACCCGTGCCCGCCCAGCAGTCCTGCCTGTGCACAGGAAAGGGGCTTCTCTTCCTGGCTGGGGCTGGGGTGAGCTGGAGTTGCAGCCGCTGGGTCCTCGGGGGCTTTTTCATCTCCCTTTTTTTAAACAAAAAGCAAAAAATTAAATGCTGCACTGCCCCGCAGCCCAGTGAGGGCTCCGGAGCCTCCTTAGGAAAGGGGTCTTTATGAGCTCCGCGGCGGCAGCCTCGGCTGTCGGAGAGGCTTTCCCAAAAAACGGAAGCATTTTTAACAAGAAGGGAGCGTCAAGACTCTCGGCCAAGGGGCGTCCGTGTGTGCTGCCTGTTCCCTGAACCAGATTTTTGTACTCTATTTTCCTAGCTGTCATTGTGTCCTTGTTTGCCGAGGGGTGGGAGCCACCCAGCGTCTCAGGGACCTGTCCCTCTGTCATGTCGTCAGAGTGTGCCTTGTGTCTTGTGTCTGGCCTTGCCCTGCCCACCAGCATGTCCCAGGCTCAGGGTGCCCCAGGCCTGCCCAGCCAGTGCTGTACTCCCGGCCCCTGTGGACAGCCCCTCCCTCCGGCCAGGGCTTCCTGGGGGCACTGCAGCCAGGCCCTTGTGGGCGGCACAGAGGGGCCGTGACCTGACCCCTAGTGTTGCCTTCCCCCCGCGGCTGGCAGGGACCTGCTTTCTCCCTAAAGAGGTGGATTCTCACCTTCACCTGCCTCGAGACCCCCACTTCCTGGCCTAGGCGAGAGTGCCAGGTTTCAGACGCTGGCAGCCAGTGAAGACTGCGCTCAGCGGTGGTGCAGGCCTGGCACCGGGAGGCTTGCCCCAGCCTTTCCTTCCTGCAGCCTCTGTCCCTGGTGGGGCTGGCCCTCAGCAAGCCTCTGCTGCATCTTCACCAATTTCCGTATCGCGGGGAAAATTCTTGTCTATTTTCAGTTGTATGCACAGATGCCCCAGGGTGGGGGGCCTGTTGTGGCGGAAAGGGGTCCCTGGAAACAGCTCTGGCACTGAACCTGCCCTACAGGCTGTAGGGGGTGCCTGGAGCCTAGGGGCATGCACATGCCCTGCGGGGGGTGGTGAGGAAGCCTGTCTGCAGCTTCTTCCAGCCCCACTGGTGCCCAGAAAGGAGCTTCCCCTGCCTGCCTGAGCTGTAAACCCAGCAGTCATTTCAAACACCCCTGCACCTCTGAGCAAGGCAGGCCATGTTTAAGAGCTTGCTCTCCGAGCCAGCACTCCAGGGACCTGAGGTGGTCGCATCCCTGCCCTGAATTCCTGAAGCACCAGCTCCCTGCCCCACCCTCTGGTGCCTGGGGCAGCCGGGGGGCTTCTACTGTCATCTCTGACCAGCAGAATCCACCCAGTGACCAGTGATGGCCCTTCGGCCGACCCTCCCGGCAGCTCAGCCCGTGGCTTTTCAGGCTGTGGTTCCCACGTGGACTGGGAAGCAGTCTCAGCCACCGGGGTGCTGTTCCGCTGCCCCTCCCTGCCACCAGCAGGTGGGTGAGGGGTGGCCCACTGGGTGGGGGCTGGTGCTAGGAGTCGCCCACATGCTCAGACCTCCCACAGCTCACTGCCAGGGGCCTAGGTTGCCATCCCTGGTGGCTCCAGGGACCAAGAGGCCATCACCGTCTGTCTATAGAGAGCAGACGGGAGCAGAACAGCCCCCGGGATACCCGAGTCTCTGCTTGTGCCCTCCCAGCCCACACTGGGGCTCTTGGCAGCTGGGAGGCAGCCCCCGCAAACCGCATACCAGGGCCCCGCCATCCTCACAGAGTGGGAGAAGCCGCAGCAAAGCTTCACCTCTGCAGACCCCATCTTAGGGGCACAGTGCTCAGGCCTGCGACCCTGGGTGGTGGAGCCCTGTTCTGATCTTTGGCCCTGGGGGCCCTGATCTGCTGTCTGCCCCGGCCCATGCCATCCAAAGGGTGAGGTGGGTTCCCCTGTGCCCTGCCTCCCTCTGTCAGCGAACCTGGGACCCTCTTCCCTACTGCCTGCACCGAGGACCCTGACCCTGGGCCAGCAAGGTGGCCCCAGGCCCACATTGGGCACTAGGACAGGTTCCGTGCCAGAGTTGGGGGCCACACAGGGCCTGGTGCCAGTGAGGGGGCGTGTGCTGGAGAGGGAAAGGGGCCCCTGCCCAGCTATCCACCTCGTGGGCCACGCTGTGTCCTTATGTCATTGTAATATAAATACAGATTTTTATACCTCTGCTGGCTCTGGCTCTTTCTGTGATTGTCACTGTCACCGTGCTCCACTCCCTGCCCTCGGCCTCCAAGCAGAGAGCCTGGCCCAATGGCACCATGCTGGGTGCCTTTCAGGTGTGGCCCTCAATGCCTGCCACAGCCTCCTTTCTGGGAGGCCTGACGGTGCACGGCATCCCTGCCACCAACCATACCGGGCCCACCGTCACAGCTGCCTCTGTGGATGCTGGCGCACCTGGCGCTGGGGAAGCCGGGATTGAGGCCAGAGCCCCCATGGGCCTGTTGGCCAACCGGTTGCTCTTGCTCTTGTCCCAGAGGCCCTGGGACTTTGCTTCTGGCCCTCGTGCTGGGGCCCTGCTGGCTGAGGACAGCCCACCCCTTGGGGTGCGCCATGCCAGCCAGGAGCCCTCTGTGCAGAGGCCGCTGGCTCTCAGAGCTGCACCATGAGAATCCTCCTGCACCTGTTCCCAGAGCTACCTGGGCGTGGCTTCTGCCTCCTGCCATGGGGACCTGCTGTGCTGAGGTGCAGCGAGATGGCATGGCCGGCTGTCTCCTTGTGCCGGTAGTGACCATGGAGGTACAGGTTCCTTTCGTGCCCATTGTGGGGGCTCTTGTGAGGTGGTGATCCTTGTGCAGTGCGGGAAGAGGGGCCTTGCTTTCACCCGAGCAAGTTGGGCTGGCTGCCCGCTCTTTGACCCTGAGGCCTATTGGAACCCTCTGGAAGCAGAGCCCTCTGAGCTTCAAAGGCTGGGGTTGGGGACATGGGCCCAAGTACCCTGGTGCGGAGGGAGGAGTCCTGTGGGCCCCAGCAACAGACAGCTGAGAGAGGAAATACCTGCCTTCAGTTCTGGAGAGTTGTTGGAGCTGGGAGGTCCTACGGGGGCTCCTGAGAGTCGGGCCGCCACGCTGTGCACACGGCAGCTATGCACTGGAGATGGCCTAGTGGGACCCGCCCCAGGTTTTGGGGTGGCCATGGAGGGTACCTGCCTCGGCCTCAGGAAGGAATCTGAGCTTTCGCAGCCCCCCGCAGCAGTCTGGATCCTTGAACCTTCGTGGACCCTGGGAGCCTGGAGGGCATTAGTGGGGACACTACAAGAAAGAAAGCGTTCCTCCTGGGAATGTGGCTGGGGCCTCAGAGCCACCATGATTTAGGCATTCATGTAAATGTGGACATTTGAATCCCAAATGTTGATTTGGGATCACCACCACCACTGTATTCCATCGAGGGCATGCAGGTGCCAGGGGCTGTGCCCAGTTCCTTGTACGACTGGTGTCTGGTATCCTCATGCTGGGCCCTTCTCACAGGTGGCACACTGAGATTTGGAGAAGCACCCCTCCTCCTGCTCACCAGGCTGGAGGGTTGGATACCTGGGACAGGACCCCCGTCCTTTGGGAAGCCCTTGATTCTCCCAGCAGATTCTGTCTGTTTTCCATCTTCATGCTTGCTGGGTTACAGCAAGTCCCCCTCCAAGTAGGACACCTGCCTGCAGCGTCCCGCCCACCCACTTCTTGGCAGCCAGAATGGCCTCAAATTTCTAGTTGCCCCCCTCCCTAAAGTCCTCCTCTGGGTCCCCATGGCCTCCAGATTAAACCCAAACACTGCTTTCTGTCCTTCAGCTCAGTCCCGACTCCCACCCACTCCCTGCATTCACCAGCTCAAGCACAGCTTCTGGGAAGTGGGCCCTGAGCCCCAGTATCCCTTCCCACCACATTTTTGCTGGGATTAGGGCCACCCAAATTAGGTGCTGGAATCATCTGGGCTAATTGCCGCAGGGCCTTCTCACATTGTTCCTTCCTCCCTTCCTAATCCCTGGCCAGGTCAGCCCCACGCACACCAGCCTCATGGGGATCTTTCCAGAATGACAATGGTTATGCCACTGGCCTGCTGAACCTCAGGGGCTCACAACCCTGTCTCTCGTCCTGAGGCCCCTTCTGACACACCACCAGTCCCAGGCTCCGCTGCCAGCCCTTGTGGTCCCCGTTCCTCCCCACTCTGAAGGCCCTCTCCACGTGGCCACCTTGGTGAATGAACTCTGTCACCTCCTTTGGGCTTATGCTGGCCCAAACCTGCTCTTGAGTTAGGGAACCGAGTTCTCACCTTTGTCACATGTATGTCAACAGGATGGAAAACAAACTCTTTCCCAACCCTACCGCCTTCTACTTAATAGGAAGGATTAGTAGGAAGAAGAGGAAGCAATGCCACTCTGCTCAGCTGGAAGCCCCGGCGTCTCCCTCACCATCTTGCGAGTCATCAGGCCGCACGTTCTGCCAGCTCCTGCAGCTCTCTGTGCCCACCTCTCTCCTCCTCTCCCGCATGCTGCAAGAGCGGTCCTGTGTATCTTCTCTTGCCACCTTTTGTAATTTTTGGTTTTGCAGAATTATGCTTCTAACACACATGAATTCACTCTCCTGCTTCAAAACAGCCCCCATTCTCCATTGCTTGCAGAATATAGAGTCCCACAAAATTCATGGAAAACATATCTGAAACAAATCATCTTTAACATCTGACTATTACTTCTAAAGTTTAAAAATAGACTGAGAAGATATTGTCCAAAACCTAAAATATTTTTTAATATTACTAGGAGAAAACTGCTTCCACAGGAAGGAGAAAAAGCGAACAGCAAAACACTTGACCCTCACAGCTCCGTCTGGAGGTCTGTTTAGTCCATGATAGCCTCATGAGCTTTCTCAGGGAGGATTAATTCCTGGGCCCCAGTTATCTTTTGACCCGACTGAAACCCCAAATGATTTTGACTGCTGAAAAGAAAATTGATCCTAGAAATAAGTATAACATACTTGCTTTCTTAAATTCCCAAGGCAAGCGGAAGAAAACTCTCCATGTCTGTATAGTTAAACCCATCATGCTTGTCATTTGTACTCTAGGGGCTGATACTACTGTAATTTTTACTTCATGTTTTTGTGGCTTTTATGGTCTCATAAACACCTTTCCAACAAATAACTACGGTCGGCATGTCAAAATCCGATGGAGAATTAATCTGTGGCCCAAGAAACCACCCAGGAGTCGCTGGGAAAGTGGGTTTCTAGGGCAGCCTCCAGGGCCCAGCAGTGCACCCCCCTCCTGCCCTCCAGGGATCTCTTTCTGTAAAGGAGCCCCTTGTCTTTCCGGCGTCTTTCATGCTGTCTCCTCCGAGTTCCTCCTTGCAGTCTATAAATATCCTCGAGTTCCTCCCATTTTAAAACAAAACAAAATAAAAAATCTTCCCCTCGGCCCTGCATTCCCACCCCTCAGCTTGTGTCATTTTGCATGCTCTGTCTCTCTCTGTCTCTGTGTCTCTCTGTCTCTATCTCTGTCACTCTCCGTCTCTGTGTCTCTCCGTCTCTGTCTCTCTGTCTCTTTCTGTCGTCCCTTTGTCATGCTCCTCCCACTCAGACTTTGCCTCATCAGCAACATTTCTGGAAGGCGTCGCCTGCACAACTCCCACTTCCTCCTGTCCAAACCGGCTCAACTGTGTCGCGTGATGCCCACGCCGACCTCCAGCCTGGGCAGCAGGGGTCCCCCCAGCAGGCCTCCCCGCTCCGGCGCCCTGCAGATTGGGCACCACCCTGTGAATTCTTTCCCTTGCCATGTTTGTTTTTCAGATCATTTTATGCCTCACTGACTTTCAGAAGAGGAGGATAAAAAAGTAAAACAAGTGAAGAATGAATAGGAAAAATGTTTGACTCGATTAGATGACAATATTGGCCTTAGAACAATTCTTATTTCTCTGCTTCAAAATACTAAGAAAAACTATCCAAACGACTTCTACCTAGTCACCCTGGACTAGAACGTTGTCTAACAAGCCGCCTTTAGGGTCGTTTGACGATGAAGGGAGGGAGTGCTGTTACAGTTACCCATGGCCAAAGCTCCGGAGAACCTGTGGAAGACTGAGCAGTGGCAAAGCGTTTTTGTTGGGTAAGATCCGAACCAACCCCGTCCAGCAGAGAGGTCCGGTGTCACCGGGCTGCCGGGCGTCAGGCAGGTGCGCGTGAACTTCGGCAGCCCCCTTCCAGCAGCGGCCTTTCGCCGGCGGCCGTCCTCTTCGGAAGCAGCGCACCACCCTCCCCGAGTTAAGTGCATCGTTGTGTTTAACTCAGGCCACTCCGCTTATGCCAGCTTATTTCTCACATTTGGAAAATACGATTGCGGAGGAGGCCAGCTTCTACACAGCGGCCAGGTGAGGGGCTGGGAATTCAGCGCTTTTGCAAGACAAAGTTCATTGTGAAAGAGTCTAAGCAAACAGCCCCTAACCCTTCGGATGCAGCAGGCACTGCTCCGGCCCCGCTGTGGGCACGGAGACTCGTCCCTCTCGGGGGCCAGCGCGGTCCTCCCGGCCCACTGGGCCGGACCGCCGGGCTGCAGCCTGTCTCCCAGCCACCAACCTGCGCTGCCCTTCTGTACACCGCGAAAGCGCCTTCAGAGGGTCCGGACTGGGTACGGGGCAGGGCAGGCCTGAAGCACGACTGATGGCCGCGTGGAGAGCAGGCCGGCGGCTTCGGCTCCCCAGAGGGCGCCCCACCGCACCCCTCCGCTCTCAGCGCCCTACTCCTTGCCCAGGCCCCGCCCCTGCCCTGGCCCGCCCCCTGCCCTGGCCCCGCCCCCTGCCCTGGCCCCGCCCCCTGCCCTGGCCCGCCCCCAGCCCTGGCCCCCTCCCCGCTCTGCCCGGCCCAGGCCCCGCCTCTCCCTGCCCGCGCCCCGCCTAGGAGGCTGGAAGCCCCGCGCGGCCGGGGGCGGAGCTCCGCCTGCTCACCTCCACCCCGTAGTCCAGCCTCGCTGACTCCGCCTCTTTTGACTCCACGCCTGCGCAGTCAGTCATCCCGCGCTCCCCGCCCCGGCCTTTGTACGCGTGCGCGCGTCCAGGCGCTCCCGTCAGGCACTGCGAGGCGCGCGGGGCTCGGAGGGCGGTGGCGGCGAGCGCTCCGGAGCAGCCCGCGGAGCTTCCTGAGGTGACTGACGCGGGCCTCGGTTCTGGGCGCCCGGGTGTGGGCTGGAGGAGTGGCCGCGACCCCCGTCCGCACCCCGCTGCCTCTTCTTTTCCTGCGCTCCTGGGGTCTCCTTCCGGGTGTTCCGGCAGCCCCTCGGGGAGCGCGGCGCGGGCCGCAGTCCTAGGAGCGGGGGCGGGGGTTGCCCGGGGCCGGCCCTCCCCGGCGCCTGCCACCCGGTGTGGACGCCGATTCGGCGGGCGTGCGCGTTTGTTCCGTCAGCGTGCGGAGGTGTCACGGCGCCGCAGGGGTCGCCGCTGGCGCGTCGGTGGGTTCCGGGGCCGCGGGTCCCTGCGGCCTGCCGTCGCCTCTGCGGTTCGCGCCGCCCGGCGTCGGGGCTCCCTCGGCGCTGCCTGGACGGCGGCCGCGCGCTTCCCCGGAGCCGCTGACGGTTTCCGCGCCGCAGTGGGGGCCCTCGGGGCGCGGCCTCGGCGCGGAGTCGCCGAGGGAGGTCCTCGGGGGGTCCTTCGAGGAGGACTGGGCTTGCTTCCGTCTTCCGACGTGCCGAGGGCTGAGCCGGCGCGGGCTGGGGCTTGTTTGTAGCCGTGTGTGTGGCATTCAGAGCCAGCGTTGCTCTGGGAGGTGTAATGCGTTTTAAACCGGGTTATCTTTAGAAACAAGGTGAAATGGGTCCGGATCGTTCCACTTGTTGATTAGTTGTCATTACCGTTGCGGTTTTCCGAGTACGAGCCTAGTCGTTTGTTTTTATCGCCGTCACGCGCTGCAGGTACAGCCACCTTCGGTTATCCCGCCCCCGATGTCACGTGGCATTTGTCTGTGTCGTCTTTTTAAAAACACTGTCGTCTTGCTTGTGGTCTAATCCTTGTTTTCTTCCCCTCCCCCCCCAGGAGGAATCATTATAGATTTGAAAAAAAATAGATGTTCCCTTCCCTGTGGACTTGGTATAAAACGTAGCTTTTTTCTATTTGGCTTTAATTTCTAAAAATCAGCACCGTAAACCCGTATCAGATACAACAACACTGGGGTAGTTAAAACCATGAGTTGTGGAAATGAGTTTGTGGAAACATTGAAAAAAATTGGTTATCCCAAAGCTGATAATCTTAATGGAGAAGATTTTGACTGGTTGTTTGAGGGTGCTGAAGATGAATCGTTTCTGAAGTGGTTTTGTGGGAATGTGAATGAACAGAACGTGTTGTCTGAAAGAGAATTGGAAGCTTTTAGCATTCTTCAGAAATCAGGCAAGCCCATCTTAGAAGGGACGGCATTGGACGAAGCTCTTCAGACGTGTAAAACTTCTGATTTGAAGACACCTAAACTGGATGACAAAGAGCTGGAGAAATTAGAGGATGAGGTTCAAACTCTACTGAAATTAAAGAACCTAAAAATTCAGCGACGTAATAAATGCCAATTGATGGCCTCGGTAACTAGCCACAAATCTCTGAGGTTAAATGCTAAAGAAGAAGCAGCCATTAGAAAGCTGAAGCAGAGTCAAGGAATTCTAAATGCAATGAACACTAAAATCAGTAATGAACTTCAGGCCCTTACTGATGAAGTTACACAGTTGATGACGTTCTTCAGACATTCTAATTTAGGTCAAGGGACAAATCAACTAGTATTTTTATCTCAATTTTCCTTGGAAAAATACCTGAGTCAGGAAGAGCAAAGCACAGCAGCATTAACTTTGTATACCAAAAAACGGTTCTTTCAGGGTATACATGAAGTAGTTGAAAGTTCAAATGAAGACAATTTTCAGCTTTTAGATATACAGACACCATCTATTTGTGATAATCAGGAAATCCTTGAAGAGAGACGATTAGAGATGGCTAGGCTGCAGCTCGCATACATTTGTGCTCAACATCAATTAATTCACTTGAAAGCAAGTAATTTGAGCATGAAGGCAAGTATAAAATGGGCAGAGGAGAATCTTCATAGCCTATCCAGCAAGGTAAGCATAAGAAACGAGACTAGATTCATATTGTAATTATTGTTAGGGAATAGAGGATATAATATTGCTATTAACGTACTTTAGAATGGGAAATCTAATAAGAGATTACATTTTATTTTCTCCTTGTTCAGTGCTTATTTATGATATGTGTCAATGTTTCATACAAATAGACCCATATGTTAATGCAAGGCAGCGATAGTAATTATAATCTCAACCACATTATCTAGTTTATTTTAAACAAAAGTGCTTTAATTTGCATTCTGAATTTTAAATTTGTGTAATGCAGATACAGGCTGGACTGAGATTTCCTTTTTAAGATGTGGCTAGAAACTAATTGCTTTATTATGGGTATTCTGCCTCTTTTGCTCCAACCAGAGCATAGTGCTAGTAAAGTCAAGTTCTAAGTTCAGTAGACAAACTGATTCCTTTTTGAGAATATATGGATAAATGTATTACAGATGTCTCTCAGCACTCTTGGAGAGCTTGCTTTCTTGGTAATATAACTGCTAGATAGTTGAGTAAAAATGTAAGTTTTCTGAATTTGAATATCAGCACCAAGTTAGTTTCTATAGCTGACAAAAACTTTGGAATAATATAGGAAGTCCGATAATTATGTAGAAGTCAGCTAAAATTGACTGGCTGACTAGGACCTATTGAGGTAATTTTAACTTTTAAGAAAAACTTAACATGTACTTGGATTCAGTGAGTAGTACGCTATTAATAATAATGATTTTGATTGACTAAAACAAGCATGATAAGATCTCTATTTTGGTAACCATTACTATGTGTATGGTAGTAATAGCATTAAAATTTAGTAATTCATACCCTTGACTTAGTCTACATTTTTCATTTTTAAACTGTAATTTTGGTTTATAGGATTATTAAATTTGTTTTCATTCATTGAGCTTGTTATCTGGTCACCTAAACTGGAAAGTGAAAATAATCTGAAGATGATTTCAAATTTAGGCATCCAGTTTCAAATGTAATTGCTTTGCTTTGTGTAGGCTGTGGACAAAGAAAATTTGGATGCTAAAATTTCTAGCTTGACCAGTGAGATTAAGAAACTTGAAGAACAGATCACTCAAGTGAAAGACAAAAGTTTACCTGCTGTGGTAAGAGAGAATGCCCAGTTATTAAATATGCCAGTGGTAAAGGGAGATTTTGATCTGCAGATTGCTAAACAAGATTATTATACAGCAAGACAAGAGTTAGTTTTAAATCAATTAATAAAGCAAAAGGCATCATTTGAACTTCTACAGTTATCATATGAAATTGAATTAAGAAAGCATTGGGACATATATCGTCAACTTGAAAATTTGGTTCAAGAACTTAGTCAAAGTAACTTGATGCTCTGCAAGCAATTAGAAATGTTAACAGATCCGTCAGTCTCTCAGCAGATAAATGCAAGGAATACCATTGATACTAAGGATTATTCTACTCATAGGTACGTATGCTTCCTTGTTTCTTCAGTAAATATTTCCTTTTGTTTTTGCAAAATACTAGAAAAAGTTTGAGCTAAAATTTTGGAACTTTTAACAGTACTTTCCATTTCACTTTTGGCCTATTTTTTTCCCATTTTTATATACCTTTTTTTCCATATGTGATATATATATATATATATATGATATATAATATATATAATATACATATATAATATACATAATATATAAAATATATATATTATATATATATTATATATATATATATATTTTTTTTAGACAGGGTTTTACCATGTTAGCAGGCTGATCTTGAACTCCCGACCTCAGGTGATCGCCTTGGCCTCCAAAGTGTTTGGAATACAGGCATGAGCCACCACGCCTGGCCACCTTTTTTTCATTTGTAGTTTTTGGTTTTTTTTTCCTCCCTTTTCCATTTATGTTAGATATAAAAGTAGCTGCTTTATAGCTGAAGTGGATGGGTTGGAAGAATGAATGGGTTTCATTCTCCTTTCAGCATCATTATTTATATATCTCATTTTAGATTTGGGGCAGGAAGTTTGAATACAGCTTAGCATAGCAGGTATTGCTAGGCAGGGGATTGACTGCATTTGGAGAAGGTAGCAGTGGAGAGGGGAGAAGACTTCATTTCTGTGTTTAGTCAGGAGAATCATTGAGAATGAATGCTAGCTCCCAAGCTTTATCTGGATGTCTGAGCAATTGATGGCACAGGGATGCTGAAAGTTGGAGGGCTAAAGTAGTCTTAAGACTCAAAAATCTGGCTCCTACTCCTCATTTTTCTCCAGGTAGGGTAAAAGCATCTAATCCTTTTGTTTTCATATGAATAAAATGAGGGGCCTGGATAGGGTTGCTTCATTGTGCAATTTCAGGGGTTACCATTGACATCATGATTTATGTGAATGATGCCCCTTGGAATTGTGTAGTTACATATATAAGACTGTAATTGGCAGCTTTGGGATTGAACTAGTTTTAGGAAGTCTGTTACAACGTGATAAAATAACTTTTAAAACAATTCTGAGAAAAAGAGCAGACCTTTTTTGTTAAAGATATGTGGAGGGTGCTGTCCCAGATTTTTCCATTTGTCCTGTAGAATAACCTTCTGCAGTTAATGTTTGACATATTAAAGTGGGCTCATGGCTCATCAAGATTTTAATTTGCCAAGCAAATACAGACAAGACTGGAGTAGCAAAAGTTTACTATTATAGCTATTTATGTAGCTCTTTATTTTTAACATTTTACAGTTTTAATTTTACATCTTTATATTTTACATTGTTTACATTTTCAGTTTTTCTCTTTTAATCCCACCACAATCCTGTAATATAGGTAGGTTAAGATGTGGCGTAGTTAAGATGTGGAAATAAGTCTGAAAGATCGATTTGCCCTGGGTTTCACATCCCAGAAAACTCAGACCAATACCTAGGTCTTCTGTTTCAAATTCATTCCTTGCTGGCTGGTTGGCTTGCTTGCTTGTTTTTTCCTTCCTTCCCTCCTTTCTCTCCTTGCTTTCCCTTCCTTTCTCTCTTCCTTACTTTTCTTTTTCTTTCCTTTTAAGACAAGATCTCACCCTCTTGCCCAGGTGGGAGTACAGTGATGTGATCATAGCTCACTGCAGCCTCCAACTACTGGACTCAAGTGATCCTCCTGCCTGAACTTCCTGAGGAGTTAGGACTACAGGCATGTGCCACTATGCCTGGCTAATTAAAAAAAAAATTTTTTTTTTGTAGAGATGGGACTTCATTATGTTTCCCAGTCTGGTCTTGAATTCCTGGGCTCAAGCAGTCCTCCCACAGTGCTGAGATTATAGACATGAGCCATAGCCTGTTTATACTACATCATAGTTATATTCTGTGAAACAAGTGTTTTCTTTGGAGGTATCTCTGAAGTGCACTTTGAAGTATGTTAGTGGCAGTTAAAGTTAAAAGAATTTTGTATGTAAAACTTGGTTGGTGGGGAAGCTGGGAATTCAGTAATAGAATGTATAGCTAATGTAGTAGTTAGAATATATATGTACTGAAATAGTACTACACAGTTCGAATGGTTTTAGTTGCTTGATTTTAGCAGACACTTTTTTTTTTTTTGAGACAAGAGTCTCACTCTGTCACTCGGGCTGGAGTGCAGTGGTGTGATCTTGGTTTAGTGCAATCACCGCCACCTGAGTTCAAATGATTCCCCTGCCTCAGCCTCCCGAATAGCTGTGACTATAGGCGCAGGCCACCATGCCTCGCTAATTTTTTGCATTTTAGTAGAGACGGGGTTTCACCATGTTGGCCAGGACAGTCTCAATCTCCTAACCTTATGATCTGCCTACCTCGGCCTCCCAAAGTGCTGGGATTACAGGTGTGAGCCACCCCTCCCGGCCCAGTATTTTTAGAAGTTGTTACTTAGCTATCGGCACAAATGCCCCAGTACAGTGGATTGTAATTTTGAAAATGATACTTACTTGAAAATTCTGACTTAAAAATTTTAACTTTTACATTTTAGGCTTTACCAACTTTTAGAGGGAGAGAACAAGAAAAAAGAATTGTTTCTAACTCATGGAAACCTTGAGGAAGTGGCTGAGAAATTGAAACAGAATGTTTCTTTAGTACAAGATCAGTTGGCAGTATCTGCTCAAGAACATTCTTTCTTTCTATCCAAGCTAAATAATGATGTGGACATGCTTTCTGATGCTTTGTATCAAGGAGGAAATCAGCTTCTGCTTAGTGATCAGGTGGGTATTTGCCATAGTAGTTAAAAATGCTTAAAAAAAAAAAAGTTTGTTGTAAAAGATATTAAAGAAAATGTTAACATTAGGAAATTATTACCCCAATTCCATTGCCTTAATATAAAATATATTTTTATATCTCTTAATTTTTGTTCACATATAAAGATATTTTTCAGATAGTTTTTGATGAGTATGCACAGAAATTTAAAAATGTATACAATTGTTCAGACACCAAAGGATACATAATGTGTTTATTAGTATTTAAAAAAAAGACAAAAAACCTCTATTGTTTTCACTCATCTTAGCAAGTATAGGATTGCCTTCATATCTTTAAAATCCTATATATACAGTTACTGGTCTATGCCCCTCCTAATATAATTCTCCTCTTCTTCAAAGGGTAACTACCATACTTAATTTTGTCCATCATTTTCTTGCTTTTATGTATAGTTTATTACACACACATATACACAAACATACATATTCCTAGACTGTGCATTTAGTTGTATATGGTTTTTTTTTTGAGACTGAGTCTCGCTGTGTCACCAGGCTGGAGTACAGTGGCGTGATCTCAGCTCACTGCAACCTCCACCTCCCAGTTCAAGTGATTCTTCTGCCTCAGCCTCCTGAGTAGCTGGTACTACAGGCCCATGCCACCATACTCAGCTAATTTTTGTATTTTTAGTAGAGACAGGGTTTGGCCAGGATGGTCTTGATCTCTTGGCCTTGTGATCTGCCTGCCTCGGCCTCTCACAGTGCTGGGATTACAGGCGTGAGCCAATGCTCTCAGCCTAATTTTGTATGTTTTTGAACTTTATACGCTGTTACTATACTGGTGGTATTATACTGATGGTATGTATATTGATGGTATGTGTCCTTCAATGACTTGCTTGCTTTTTCAGTGGCTTAACATGTTTTTGAGACTTACTCATGTGGATACATGTAAAGCTATATAGTTCATTCAGTTTTCTCTTTTGTATAGTTAGTATTCCATTATATGATATTCCATAACATAATTATCTGTTAGATTGACAGACATTTAGGTTATTTCCAGTTTTTGTTACTATAGGTCATACTGCTATGATAGTCTTGTGTGTGTCATAGCTGCACAGTTCCATTTTCTCCATATCTTTACCAACACTTGTTATTTCCTGTGGTTTTTAAAATAGCCATCCCGATGGGTGTGAAGTGGTATCTGTGATGGTTTTTTTTGAAAGGTCTCCCATTACTGATTTTTGCCTTCTTGATCTATTGAGAATTGTGTAAAAATTTCTGCTCTGATGGTGGATTTGAGAATTTCTCCATGTAGTTTTACGTCATTTTTTTCTTTATGTATTTTGAGTCTATTTTTTTTAGTTACATCCAAGTTTGAAATTGCAGTGAACAGTTATTCTGCTGGTTTTAAATTGCAGTGAATTAAAGCATTTAGCATTGCATAATGACTATTGCTATGATGCTTTTTGTCTTGATATTCTTTTGTCTCGTATTAATATTCCTGTGCCATTTTTCTTTTGCTTTGTAATTGTAAGGCATATAGTTTTCTTTATACTTGTCCAGTAAGTTTTTACTGTTAGTTAAGTCCTGATTCATGGACCCAGGATAGGAATCATCATGTACCCAGGGCCCCCTTTACCACCCTGGGAGAAGGATGGAAAACGGGAAAGGTAGGGTGGAACCAGTTCAGATCTTCCCAGGAAACATGCCTTTGTCCCAGGCCAAGACCGAGGATATGGGGCAGAGGGACTTGTACATATGCCAGTACCATTTGCACACAGAGACATCACCCTCGTTAGCAGTCATTACCTTCTTGGAGTGGTACAAGTCTAGGGAGTTGTGCCAGCAGTTCATGTTCTGGTTCTGGTTGGTGAAGTGGCTGTCAAAAGGGACGGTTTTGTAGTTCTTAATTTTGATCTTCATTTCTTCCGCCATGGTGCTAACTTCTAAAGACCCTCAGCAAAGACCATAGTTTTGTTTTTACTTAGCATGATGAAATAAACATTTTTACTCTCCAGATAGTTTTGTTTTAATGTTAACTATGCTCTATTGATTTAATTACTGTGCCATCATGGTTATTGTTACTGGGCATTTTGATAGTCTTCATTTTTTTCTTTTGTTTGCTCTTGAACATCTGTATCTTCGTGTATGTAGCTTGCTGTTGGATACTTCTATCTGGATAAATTCTTGGAAACAGGGTCATTGGGGTTTTTTATGCTAGGGCGATATATACACTTTTTTTTTTTTTGCCTTTGTACTGCTTTTTCAAGGAGTTTATAATGCTACCAGCACTGTTTAAGTGTCTACTAGACACCATTGATCATAAGGTACACCATCATTTTATGAATTGCTAAAACAAAAAACTCTTAGACTGACATAACGTTTTCTTATTAAGAATTTTTGTTTTTCATACTTACTAGAAAATATCTTTTTAGGTGTAGGTAGACATGGATTTTTATCATACCACTCTTGGACATATGTTAAAAGGAAAAAAATAAATGGTTAGGGTAGTTCTAAAGCTTCACATTTCAGTGTCCAATTCTAAGTTATTTTTTGACTCAAAGTTGTTTGTAATTTTCCATATTGTATATCAAGAATGTTGGTGAGAAAGTATTTCTTAAGAGTACCTGGCCAGAAACAATCATAATGAGATTCTTGATTAAGATGCATCTTCATTTCAAATATGTTAAAATATGAAAAACATGTATCCAGTAATCACTAAAATATGGTAATTTCACTCCAGTCTTACCACTGGGTATCATTAGTGGTTTTCCCTAGCTCAATGTGATATAAAATGCCATATCAGTTTTGTGTTTCTGTTATTAATGAAGCTGAACTTCAGTATCTGTAGTAATACTGTTTTAGCAATTATGTGATCTTTAGTATTTAATTGAAGGTAAAGATGAGATCATTGTTTCTCAGTATATTCAAGTTTACCAAGTTTGTCTTAGAGGAGATCACTAAATGTAGCTATAATGTCAAAATTACTTGATTTTCAAAAATATGTATTTTAAGAAGTACTGCTCTGTGAATTGGCATTTATGACAAGTCTTAAGTAGTCATTCTTGAACTTGTACATTAGAATCATCAGGGAGCATATCAAAGTGCGGGTTCCTAGCCCTGTACAGAGATTATTTAGTCTAGTTTGGGGTATAGGAGCCTGTATTCATAACAAGTACCTCAGATAATTATGATGCTTGTGGACCATGCTGAGAAGCTGTGAAAAATTGAGGGTAGTTAGAGCAGCAGATTTTCTCAAAACCTCTTTGGTGATACTGGCCAAAATTTTAAGTAAAATGCTTGATTAGAAAGCTGTGGACACTTGCTAGTAATCTGGTTTAAATGCTAGAAACTGAGGAATTTGAATTTATTATAAATGTGAAGGGTCTGGCATGACTAGATTCTTGAGCAGGAAAATTACATGATTAGTCAAGATGATTTTTGTGGAATATCGTGTAATTGTATCTGGTAAGAAAATATGAAAAATGGAGATTTGTGTTTAGATAATTTTTTTTAATTTGTCTTATATTCTGTACCTTCTTTCTAGAATAAACAGAGAATAGGCTAAAACAATGTTTGATTAATTAAGCAGAATATAAGCTCCATGAGGGAGATTTTGTTCATTCTTATCAGTAATCTCTAAAACAGTATTTGGCACAATGATATTTGTTGAATATATGAATACACAGAACAACTTATATATCAAGTACTCTTCAGGAAGGGTTTGCTTAAAATTATCAGAAGTTGTTGCAATTAAACCGTTATGGATTTTAAATTGAGATTTATTGCTAAAATTGTGGGAAGTTTTTAAATCATTTAAAGTCTTTCCATGTAAGTTATATTTTAATTTTATAATTGGTGTTAGGAATAAAGTGTTTGAATTTTTATTTTTATTTTCCTTTTTTAGGAGTTAACAGAGCAGTTTCATCAAGTTGAATCTCAAATGAATAAACTAAATCATCTCCTCACTGATATTCTTGCTGATGTGAAGACAAAAAGAAAAACTTTGGCAAATAATAAATTACATCAAATGGAAAGAGAATTATATGTATATTTTTTAAAAGATGAAGATTATCTGAAAGATATTGTGGAGAATTTAGAAACTCGATCAAAAATTAAGGCTGTTAGTCTTGAAGATTGAAAATTACTGAAAACTGAATCTTTATTACTCATGCTCTTTTATTAGGAGACTATATATAATAAACATTACCAAATTTTTTAAATTTGAGGACAATGGAACATTTCTTTTGATGAATTCAAGTATTATTAATTTGACTTTTTTCTCATGTAGTACATTCATAGTACCAGTACTTTATGACGAGCATTTATTTCGTGGTACTTAGTCCTGGTAATTTTTTAATTACAAGGAAAAAGCATTATTACATAATGCAAATATTTTTTAATACAGTAGTCTTTCTTTTTAAAAGTAGAAATTTTCTGCTGCTAAATTTTTTTTTTTTTTTTTTTTGAGATAGGGTCTCAATCTGTCACCAGGCTAGAGTACAATGGTGCAATCTTGACTCACTGTAACTTCCACCTACCGAGTTCAAGCGATTCTCCTGCCTCGGCCTACCGAGTAGCTGGGACTACAGGCATGTGCCACCATGCCCAGCTAATTTTTTTGTGTTTTTAGTAGAGATGGGGTTTCACCATGTTTGCCAGGATGGTCTCAATCTCCTGACCTCGTGATCCACCCATCTCGGCCTCCCAAGGTGCTGGAATTACAGGTGTGAGCCACCATGCCCGGCTACTGTTAAATATTTTTAAATGTATTGAACTTCTAGTAGCATTTTAAAATCTGTAGACCTTAGTATGTGAAATAGCCAAGTCCCCTCATATCTGACTGTAAAATAAAATTGTGCGCTCAAATTGTATTCCTTCGTACTTCCCTGCTATAGACTTTTAGACTGTTTGTATATCTCAACTTGTACCACAGAATATTGGGACTTTATTGGCCATCATTCATTTTAGAGTCTGAATTATGGGGACTCAAAAGTTTCTACAAGATAGCTTAGCAGTGCTTTGACTTTAAATGTGACTTATACATCATAAATTACTTTCAAATGAAATTTGAAATTTTAATTTCAAAATTCTGTAAAAGTGGTTGCTCAAAAGATGTATGGTACTATTTTAATCAGTTTAAGCACAAAAATGTTTAATTGTATTTAATAATGGTATTTGGGCAACCAGAAAATATTTTAAGAGTTGGTCTAAAATAATTTCAAGTAGCTCATCTGCTATTATCAGATGCTTCTTGAGTGCCCAATTTATACATGGCCTGTGATAAATAGCTTGTGAGCCTTGTAGTAATACCTTCAAAAATATTCCTTACCTGCTTGTAATACAGAATGCCCATCTAAAAATTACATATTTGGGGTGGTCTTTATGGAATTTTTTAGCTATAGCCATCAGAAAACAGGCATACTTTGATTAACCCTCTTGATTTTTGCAACCCATTGAACAAAAATATTTTGCCAATTATTGTGTTTATGTTATTTAAAATTTTGTATTTATTATGTAAACCTTAACTATGTAGCAGTTAATTTTGTTTAAGATTTTGCTATCGGCTCCCTATCACTTGAGCAACATTTTGTTGTTATTGTTGTATATATTTTTTTCTATTCTCTCTTGGGATAGAGAATTTACTTAAAATTTTTCTTTTCTCCAGTAATGTGGAAAATATGTCACCTGGCTTACGGTAGCAAATTCTGTTTAAATTAGTGTCAGTTATTTAGATGGGTGGCCAGATGCTTGATTTATTTAATTAACTAATTTTTTGAGACAGAATCTCTTTCGCCGAGGCTGGAGTTCAGTGGAACGATCTCGGCTTAATTGATTCTCCTGCCTCAGCCTCCTGAGTAGATAGGATTATAGGCATACACCACCACACCTGGCTAGTTTTTGTATTTTCAGTAGAGATGGGGTTTCACCCTGTTGGTCAGGCTGGTCTTAAACTCCTGACCTCAAGTGATCTACCCACCTTGGCCTTCCAGAGTGCTGACATTAGAGGTGTAAGCTGCCATGCCCTGCCCAATTTAAATGCTTGATTTATACTGTCCCCATTGAAAACTTCACTTGCTCAGCCCAGGAGTCCAGCAAGGCTGATCAAGGCAGGGATGATAACTGTGTGTCTACCATAATTACCTAAGTCAGTTATAATCGTGTTACTAGATTTATTTGAAGATTTAATACCATTTTTCAAATCTCAGGAAGTATTTGAGTAAATTGCTTGCTTCTAAATTGGTTACCTAGAAAATAAGTTCTTTATCTATTTACCATGATACCTGGATTGAGTCTGTTTTGCTTTTTTCTTAATATCCTATCTATATTATTGGATGATTGATGCCTATTTTCTACGGTTATAAATATAGACATTTTGAAGTTGGTATATAAATTTTTCAAGATAACTTCATTGTATTTCCTGTTTTAAAGTCTTAGAATTAATATATGGGTATTTACCTTATGTTAATCTTACATTTAGGATTTTGTGAAAATGGAAAATTATGAGGCATTGGTAGGCTTTGATCTCTCTCAGACACCGCTCTCCAGTGTTGCTCAGAAGATTATGTCTGCTATGCATTCAGGTGATTTAGTGGATTCTAAGACTTGGGGAAAGAGTACAGAGAGTAAGTAATTTTTATGAACCTTTCTCTCTCTTGATACTTTGAATGTTAATTACTCTAAAGGTTAAGAATTGAAAATGGATGCATGTAGACAGATGAAGCCCAGCTCCCACCCCTTTTACACTCATTTGGTGTAGACCGAGCTGCTGCTCACTAACTTTCATGTGCCCTTAACCTTGATTGCTTTCAAAATGTAACACTTCCTTCCTTGTTCAAGGTGTTTCTGTCAAACATTCCCTTAGAATCTGGATTAGGTCTTTCACTATCTTCAAAAGAGATGCTTTAATCTTGGTTCTCAGGTCATGGAACCCATACATAGTATATGCTGTTGTGTGTGGTGAGCAAGAGATACGTTTTTGACAATATGTGTATTATACTGCCATAGAAATGTAAACTCTTAGGTGGCAAGGATTGGATCAGTGTATATGTGTTTATGACATGTGGTATAATAGTAAAAGCAGTGATAATGCTCACAGATGTCACTGAAATGTTTGTAACATCAGGGTTTTTGGTGTTTTGTTTTTTGGGATTTTTTTTTTTTTTTTTTTTGCTAACTAGCAAAGTAGTTTTTATTTTAAATTTGTAAGTCTGGGTCAATAATTTGTGGTTGGTTTCTCTTTCTATAAAATAAGGCATAAGTGAATGAGATATAATTGAGTAATGAACTTGAAATAATTGAGAGTGTTGCCAAATATTAGCACAAAAGCTCTTATAAACAGCTTCTTGATTAAGATACAGTGGCACTTAATGTTTTGATCTGTTCAGGCATCTGTTGCTTACATACCTTACTGCAGTAGAAGTCACTAATAAACTGATAAGAATTTTTGAGTGTGAATTACATGCCTAGCAATTGATAGTGTAAAACACTATCATAATCACATTTATTATTCCATATTTTTTTGAGTAATAGAGTGGGTATATACTTGACAGATGTGGAAATATACTCCCCTTAAAAAACTGGTGAGAATAATGAAATGCCTCTGGCAGCTATAATATGAGGCTCTGATGAAAAATTTATGATAGTCCATCTCCTATCAACTCTTGTCATTGTTCTAAAATACCCTGTTAATGCCTGTGACAATCACTTCAGTCCAGGAGTTCAAGTCCAGCCTAGGCAACATAGCAAGATCCTATCTCTAAAAATGAAATACCCCATTAAAATGTTAAAATCCTGGTTTTTGTTAAGGTTATTGAGAAGATAATAGAAAAAGATATACGACTTTTGTCTCAATTCTTAGATTGGGAAAAATAGTGAAGTTTTCATAAGGATTTTGTATTTTCTATTGCCGTGTAACATTATTACTACAGGTTTACTGGCTTAAAGCAACACAATTATTGTTGTGCAGTTTCTGCGTCCGGAGCCTGTACCTGACTCCACCGGGTCCTCTGCAAGGGTGCACTCCAGGTGTCAGCCAGGGCTGGTGTCTCTCCCAAGGCTGCAGTGGGGAAGCATTCTCTTCTAAGCTGACATGGTTATTAACAGAATTCAGTTTCTTGTGGACTTTCAGACCAAGGGTCTCAGTTTCTCGCTGGTTTCTGGAAGGCATCCCCAGTTTCTGTCATGTGATCCTGTCTGTGGGCAACCTACAGTATGGCAAGGCAGCTGACTTTTTCTTTTTCTTTTTCTTTTTTTTTTTTTTTTTGAGACGGAGTCACACTCTGTTGCCTAGACTGGAGTGCAGTAGCATGATCTTGGCTCACTGCAACCTCCACCTCCCAGGTTCAAGTGATTCTCCTGTTTCAGCCTCCCTAGTAGCTCGGATTACAGGCGCACGCCGCCATGCCCAGCTAATTTTTGTATTTTTAGTAGAGACGGGGTTTCACCATGTTGGTCAGGCTGGTCTCAAACTCCTGACCTCGTGATCCACCTGCCTCGGCCTCCCAAAGTGCTGAGATTAAAGGTGTGAGCCACCTCTCCTGGCCTGCAGCTCACTTTTTCTAAGCCAGCAAAAGTCTCCCTAGCAAGACTGACATTACAGTTTTATGTAATGTGATCACATACATGCTGCTGCCTTTGCTGTGTTCTGTTGATTAGAAGCCAATCAATCAGTAGTCCCATTCACACTCAGGGACAGGGGTTACACGAGGACCTGACACCAGGAGGCAGGGATCATAGGAGCACCTTGTTGTCTTTCCACTACAGATTCTCACCAGTTTCATTCCTTTATCATATGAATCCAAATTAAAGTTGGATTGCTGGTGGATTATTGATGAGTAATGCTGGACCTAAAGTTTTAATTGACTCCTGGATTCTTGTCAAATACTGAGCTGTTATTATGTCAAATTATTACTTCTAAGAAAGATACTGTAAATTAGTTTTTCATTTCCGTGAGCCTATTTCATACCAAATAAATATCGAAATTAAACTCAGAAATTAATGGAAATAAACTACAAATACTTGCTTTTAAAAACACTAAGTCACACCAAACTATATTTAAACCTGTGATACTAGTCATTTTGGGATCTAATTTTCTTATCTGCTAGACTGACTGAGGTGACTCAAGATACACATTCAGCAAAGATTGGATTGTTATATCTTTTTGAAACAGGTATAGATATTTAAAAATGCTTTGTCGTGAAAAACACTAAAAATGCAAAACTTAAATTAATGTCAGAGAACATCCATGTAACTACCACTTAAATTGCCAACACCACAAAATTTACTTCTCAATTAAAATCTCTCCCTGCTCAAATGTAACCATTTTCCTACCTTTTATGGCAACTGCTTCATAATCATGGGCATTTTATATTGTTCCAGATACCTTTTTGGCAGCGATTACTCATTGCTTACCTCACTGAGTCCATCCCTCTTTTCTGAGGCACACAGTTACACTACATGGCTCAGTCTTGTTTCAGTCAGGTTTGACCAAGTGGCCAGGTGCCTGTCAGTGAGTTGTGAACTCAAATGGGTGCCATTTCCAGGTGAGGATCCAAGAGAGCTTGCCTGCTTCTCTGGCCTCTTTGCTTCCCACCAGTTGGAGCCGAAATGATTCTTCTCCAACCGTGCAAATAAGAGTGTCCTAGAGATTGTGGAACATCATGCTAGAAGGATGCTGGGCCCCTGAGTGATTTCAAAAATAGCTATACCACCTATTGAGACCATTGACCTCAGAACATGAGAGAGAAATAAACTTTTTCTTTTCTTTTTCTTTTTTTGGAGACAGGGTCTTGCTCTGTCATCCAGGCTGGAATTCATAGATCATTACAGTCTAAACCTCCCAGGTTCAAGCAATCCTCTCACCTCAGCCTCCTGAGCAGCTAGGACTTCAGGCAATTGCCACCGTGTCTGGCTGATGTTTTATTTGTTTTGTGGAGACAGGGTCTTGCTATGTTGCCCAGGCTGGTCTCCAACTCCTGGGCTTACACGATTCTCCTGCCTCTCAAAGTACTGGTATTACAGGCATGAGCCACGGTACCTGGCCTACTATTTTTTAGTGTTACAAATTTTTTCCTCAACATTTTTGGGGAGTCTCTTTGTAATACATTAGGAAGTGTTTTTAAACAAAAACTGAAGTCGGTAATTCCACACAATTTTCTTTTTTCTTTCTTTCTTTTTTTTTGAGATGGAGTGATGGAGTCTTGCTCTTTCACCCAACCTGAAGTGCAGTGGTGCAATCTCAGCTCACTCCAACCTCCCTCTCCTGGGTTCAAGGGATTCTCTTGCCTCAGCCTCCTGAGTAGCCTGGATTACCGGTGCCTGCCACCATGGCTGGCTAATTTTTGTATTTTTAGTAGAGACAGGGTTTCACCATATTGGTTAGTCTGGTCTCAAACTCCTGACCTCAAGTGATCCACCTGCCTCGGCCTCCCAAAGACATTTTTAAAATATATACTTATATAAGTGTATGCATACAACATCTTAATATAAAGTTGTGAGAAGGTTCAAGTTCTTTTTTGCTTGTTGAACCCTCTCCCTTATTGTTAACCTATGTTAACAACTCAGTATGTGCCTTTTATGTTTTTGTTAATTTTTTTCTGTGATTATAATTTCTGTGACTGGACAGTCGTGCGCTGCATAATGAATGATGTTTTGGTCAACGACAGACTGAATACATGGTGGTCCCCTAAGATTGTAATGGATCTGAAAAATTCTTGTCTCCTAGTGATAATCGTAGTTGTCCTGTTATAGCACAACGCTTTACTTTTCCCCCCAGGACAGTGTTTCACTCTTATCACCCAGGCTGGAGTGCAGTGGCCCGATCTCAGCTCACTGCAACCTCCTGCTCGTAGCTTCAAGGGATTCTCCTGCCTCAGCCTTCCGAGTAGCCGGGATTGTAGGCATCCACCACCATGCCTGGCTCATTTTTGTATTTTTAGTAGAGACAGGGTTTCACCATGTTGGCCAGGCTGGTCTTGAACTGACCTCAGGGGAGCCACCATGCCCAGGCACATTACATTTTTACTGTGATGTTGTCATAAACCTGCTGCACTGCCAGGTGTATGAAAGCATAGCACTCTATATAGTGTATAGCTGTGTCATACAGTCAACTCGCACAAACATAGTGCCAGGTGTGTAAAAGTGCAGTATTATGTCTATACAGTTATACATAGTATAGTGCAGTGTAGTAGGATATGCCATCTAGGTTTGTGCGAGCGGACTGTATATACATAGTATGTGCCAGGTGTGTAAAAGTGCAGTACTATGTCTATACAATTACGTGTAAGACACAGTACTTTATAACAAATGACTGTGATACTGGTTTACATTATTTACAATACAGTAATGCTTTTTATCATTGTTTTAGGGTGTATTCCTACTTATGAAAAAAATAGTTGATTGTGAAACAGCCCCAGGCAGGTCCTCCAGGAGGTGCTGTTATCATAGGACGTGACAGCTCCATATGTGTTAATTGCCTCTGAAGACCTTCCGGAGGGACAAGATACGGAAGCGAATGACAGGAATACTAATGCTCTTTATCCTGTGTAGGCCTAGGCTAATGTGTGTGTTTGTCTTAGTTTTAAACAAGAAAGTTTAAAAAGTTTTTAAAAGTTAAATATCTTAATAATAGAAGGTTATGGAATTGAGATGAAAAAATATTCTTGTTCAGCTATACAGTGTGTTTTGTCTTAAGCTAATTGTTATAAAAGAGTTCAAAAGTTTAAAAAATTTTAAAGTGTATAAAGTAAAAAATGTTAAAGTACACTGAGGTTAATTTATTCCTGAAGAAAGAAAATCTTTAAAAATAAATGTAGTGTGTCCTAAGTGTATAGTGTTTATGAAGTCTACATAGTGTACAGTAATGCACTAGGGCTTCACATTCACTCTCCACTCACTGACTCACCCAGAGCAACTTCCACTCCTGCAAGCTCCGTTTATGGTAAGTGCCCTATGTAAGTGCCGTTTTAAAAATCTTTTATACTGTGCTCACTTTGACAGCACATATACTAAAATTGGAATGACAGAGATTAGTATGGCCTCTGCGCAAGGATGACACACAAGTTCGTGAAGTGTTCCATTTTTTTTAAAAAAAATTTTTATACTGTATTTTTACCTATATTTAGATACACAAATACTTACCATTGTGTTACAGTTGCCTACAGTGTTCAGTACAGTAGCGTGCTGTACAGGTTTGTAGCCTAGGAGTTGTAGGCTAGACATTACAGCCTAGGAGTATAGTAGGCTATGCCATCTAGGTTCATGTAAGTTCGCTATATGACAGCAGTCCCCAACCTTTTTGGCACCAGGGATTGTTTCATGGAAGACAATTTTTCCATGGGATGAGGGTCAGGGGATGGTTTTGGGATGAAACTGTTCCGTCTCAGATCATCAGGCATTAGATTCTCATAAGGAGCTTGCAACCTAGATTCCTTGTAGGGTTCATGCTCCTTTGATAAATCTAATGCTGCTGCTGATCTGACATAAGGCAGAGCTCAGGTGGTAATGCTTACTCACCTGCAGCTCACATCCTGCTATTGTCGCCTGGTTCCTGATAGACTACAGACAGGTACTAGTCCTCAGCTCAGGGGTCTGTAAGGTTTGCATAACAATGAAATTGCCTAATGATGCATTTTTCAGAACATACCCCCGCATGACTGTAATTATAGCTTGTATATATCTGTGCCAACCTGGCTGAGGCATTTTTTGCAACGCATCACATTTCAGCTTCCCCAGGTTCAGTTCTTCTGATCTCCAAGGTCACTCCTCAGTAAACTCTGCTGACAAATCTCAGTCTCAGGGAACCTGATCTGCTGCAGTTGGTGGCAGGAGTGGTCTGAGAAAGTAGACATGTGAGTTTGGAGTTTGGTTTCCCTCAGGTAAGCTGGTACTGATGACCTCATCACAAGTTGTGGGTGGAAGACAAATCTGGCTCAGGGCGGGTTTGGCTTACCAATGGGAGCAACTGTACCAGCTGGGACAATAGGGCACATCTGAGAAGTACAAGGCAGTTGAGGACAATGGAACTAAATGGCTGTGGCTGGGAATAATAGAAACTTTGGAAAAACACCAAAAAAAAAAAAAAAAGCTAGGGGCAATAAGCAATTAAGGCTAAACTTGAAAGTCAGAGGGCTTCCTGGGCAGCCTGTAAAGAGACAGCCTATAGCCATAGACCCAAGACTTAGTCCTGCTTAGTCCTGATTGCACCAGAGAAACTTGAATTTTCAGCCCTGGTGGTGTGCTGTTTTGGTTTGGTTTGGTTTGGTTTATTTTTAAAGACACCTAGGCTGGAGTGCAGTGGCTCACTTTAATCTCTGCCTCTGGGGCTCAGGTGATTCTCCAGAGTAGTTGGTACTACAGGTGCACACCACCACACCAGGCTAGTGTTTTGTTTTGCTTGGTTTTAAATTTTTAATAGATATGGAGTTTCGCCATGTTTCCCAGTCTGGTCTCAAATCCCTGGGCTCAAGAAGCTTGTCTTGGCCCACCAAAATGTTGGGACTACAGGCGTGAGCCACCCCTGCGTGGCCAAGATTAAGGTCTTTATCTGAGAAAAGAGGGACCAGACCCTGAGATACGGGATGGGAACCTTTGGATTGGTATATTTAAAACTTGATTGAGATACCACAGGGAGAAAAAAAAAAAAAAAAGAACTTCAGGATCAGATCAGCTTGGTCAACGTGGCAAAAACCTGTAAATGTAAAATATCAGACAGATTTCAGTCCATTTAGAAAGTTTATTTTGCCCAAGTTAAGGACACACTTATGACACAGCCTTAGGATGCTCTGAGACATGTGCCCAAGGTGGTTGGGGGTAGGCGGCTTTTTTACATTTTAGGAAGACATGAGATACCAGTATGTGTAAGATGTAACTGATTTGGTCTGGTAAGGCAGGACAGCTCGGAAGCGGGGACTTCCAGATTAGAAGTAGTTAAAGAGGGGCCAGGCAGGATGACTCCTGCCTGTACTCCCAGCATTTTGGGAGACCAAACTGAGTGGATCCCCTGAGGTCAGGAGTTCAAGACCAGCCTGGTCAACATGGCGAAACCCTGTCTCTGCTAAAAATAAAAAATTAGCCGGGCATGGTGGCAGGCATCTGTAATCCCAGCTACTCAGGAGGCTGAGGCAGGAGAATTGCCTGAACTGGGAGGCAGAGGTTGCAGTGAGCCAAGATCGGATCACTGCACTCCAGGCTGGGTAACAGAGTGAGACCTTGTTTCAAAAAAATATAGTACATTTTATTTAAAAAATAAGTCTTGAGTATCGGATACTTCTGAGACCTGCAGAAATGGCCCCACTATGAGTGCTTCCCCCAAGCTTTGCTTGAAAACAATGCAGAGCTTCTGTCTTGAAAAATAAGACATGCTCCCTCATTATTTTGTAATACTTTAGGAAGTTTTTAGGGTGGTGAGGGAGGAACAGAAAAAACAAACTTCATAATTCCCCACATCTTTTTGTATAGTTATACATATGTCATTTTATATGAAATTGTGAAAAGATTCATAAATGTATTGTTCAGACTTTTTCTTTTTTGCTGTCACCTCCTCTCCTGGTTATTAAGTCACGAAATAACCCAGCTGAAAAGTATTGGGCCTGTTACAGAAGTGTATGAGATAGTCCAGTCAGGGGACAGAAACAGTAGAGTAATTTGAACAGGGAATGTTTAAGGCATTAATAACTAGCAGTATTCACTACCAAGGAATAAAGCAATAGCAGACACAGGGAGCAGCTTCCTCCCCTAGGGTTGAAGTGGGGGGCTGAAGGAAGGGACAAATTTAGCAGAATTACTCCCCTCAAGACTGAGATTCAGACCGTCAGGGGGTATGGATGTAGCCCACTGGGTGGCCAAGAAGCTGGCTGAAGTGCCACATCAGTCTGGCAAGTGGGAACCCACCTATGGGGTACCACTGAACTCACTGAGAAGTTGGCAGGGGTGCCCATGAAACTCGGTAGGAAGCTACCCACAGGGATTGACTGAAACTTGCTGGAGAGCTGGCTAGAATGTCTGCAGAAGTAGCTGGGGAGTGGCCAGAGGGGCTGCTCCTGGGTGTCTAGTACACTAGTTAAGAGCTGCAAGGAGCGAGAAGGAAGAAGCACAGCAACCAGAGGCCCCTTCTCTGGCAGCATCCCTCTAGCACCCTCTGCAGCCAGTGCTAAACATTGTGCCAGGTGGCAAAAGAGGTGTATTTTCAGTAGTGCATGCTGTGCGATGAGGGGTGAATTTGTAGCTGAGAGGCAGTATGTCGATAACTGGCACAGGGACGAAAGAGATTGTACTCCAAAGGAACTGTAGGATCTAACAGGCCATATACAAGCAGGCCTGGGAGAGTACCTATGGGTGGGCTGGGTCTGAGGGTGCTGGATCAAGGCAGGTGGAACTAAGTTTGGATAAGGGAGAGTTTATTGATGTGGGATCACTTCAGAGACACTAGATTTGACCATCCAGTGAAGATTCCAAGAGATGGTGCTAACATACCACCAGGATGGCTCTTAGTTCCTTGTAGGAAAGAGTTCACACTAAGTGAAGTAGAAATGTTAGAACTGCCAAGGCAGACAGCAAAAGAAGGCATAGAAAGCTAGGAGAGGTGACGGTGCTAGAATGGCCATATTGTGGAGGGCTGGGAAACTCAGCGGGTAACAGTGTTCTGCAGAAGGCCACTCTGGGTGCTGTATTTACCAAAGCAATCATGAGAGTGCTGACGAGGGAGTGGGCAGCATCAGCTTCACTGACGGTCTCAGTGGCGTCCTCTGTTGACCAGGGCTGCTGATAACAGGGAGGGAGATAGACGTAGAGGCCAGGTGGTGGTGCCTGTCAGAAGCAGAGTAGGCACAGTTCTCATAAAGTGACTTGAGACCTGGAACTGACTGACTGAAGGAGAGCCCAGGTCCACAGGAAGAAGGACTGTGCAACACCATGGCAAGTGTATATGGCAGTTTTTCCTCCTGTCTTTCCCCCAGGGGAACCTGTGGCCATTTACTCTGGGAACTTATACATGGGGGGAGGGGAAATACTGAAACATTCATATGATGTTGATAACTGGAGACCTAAAGTATCATCATGGTTCCTCTGTTGGAGGCTTGAGGAATCAAGCAATACATGGAACCTTGACCCAGATTACATCATAATGGGAGGGCTCACTCCAAAGCCATTTTCCAAGTCCCCAAATGTTATTTGAAATGAACAGACTATTAGAAGAACCCTCAGATACTGGTTTCTTGGCCTGAGGATGAGAGCTCCCAGAGTGAGTAAGCTAAAGTGGATAACGCTGAAACTGCCTTCCCAGCAAAGACAGTGAGTTAATACAGCAATATAGCAACCTAGGAGAAATGGCAGAAGTTAGTGCCATCTTTAAACACTTAACAGGATTCAGGGCACAGGGTGGTCCCTGTCATATATTCACTTAATTAGGTGCCTACAGAAGTCAGATCCTACAGAATAACAATTGACACCACAAATAGTTATGACCAAGTTATAGTCCTAATGACAGCTGCTGGGCTGGATATGGCATATGCAGTTAACAAACAAGGCCTCAGGTATATGAAATGCAGTTATCAATTTGGTGAACATATTCTTTGCCATCCCTGCAGAAATATTCACTCTGAATGGATAATATAAATTCGTACCTTGCCCCAGGGCTGTGTTATCCAGCCACCCACTGTTTTGGTGACATCATGCCAATCAGGCAGCATAAGCAAGAAATGGCAAGTTTGTTAGATGTCTTGCTGACCAACACATGGGAGATAAACTCACAGATATTCTGGGGCCCGGGCCGGGCGCGGTGGCTCAAGCCTGTAATCCCAGCACTTTGGGAGGCCGAGGCGGGTGGATCACGAGGTTGAGAGATCGAGACCATCCTGGTCAACATGGTGAAACCCCGTCTCCACTAAAAATACAAAAAACTAGCTGGGCGTGGTGATGCGTGCCTGTAATCCCAGCGACTTAGGAGGCTGAGACAGGAGAATTGCCTGAGCCCAGGAGGCGGAGGTTGCGGTGAGCCGAGATCGCGCCATTGCACTCCAGCCTGGGTAACAAGAGCGAAACTCCGTCTCAAAAAAAAAAAAGATATTCTGGGGCCCACCACAACCATGAAGTTTTTGGAAGTTCGGTGGTCTGGGGGTAGTACGTAGGATGTCCCCTTGCAAGTAAAGGACAAGTTAGTGCCTTTTTTTTTTTTTTTTTTTTTTTTTTTTTTTAAGAGACTGTCTCACTATACTGTCCAGGCTAGCCTCAAGTTCTTGGGGGCAAAGTGATCTGCTTCAATCTCCTGAGTAGCTGGAGCTACAAGTGCACACTTGGCTAAATTACTGCATTTTTAAGAATGAAGCCTTAAGAATGAAGATGCCAACTGACCAAATCATCCTGCAACATGGTTAATCACATTAACCATTAAGAATGAAGCATGATACCTGATAGGCATCTCTGGGTTTGGGGAGTGGAGGCAGCATGTTCCACATTTGGGAATACTGACTGCATAGGAAAGCATCCTGTAAGAGGCCTAGGCTGTGAAGCAAGTGGCCCAGGTACTTAGACTTCCAGCCCAACAGACCTTGTGATATTAGAGGCATCTGTAGTGGGAAAAGATGCAATGTGAAGCTCAAGGCAAACTCCTAGAACTCTGGACCATGGCAATGCCATCTGCAGAAAAGAGATAAATAAACAAAACTGTCATGCTATTGGTCCCTGTAGAGATGGAGCATGAGGCCATGGTGACATCAAGTGACCATGAGCCAGAACTGCCAGCATGAGCTGGTTCTGTCAGACCCACCAAGAGGTGAGTGTGCAGCTGTTCGTTGCAAGTTGGAAGTGGCACATTTAGTATTACCTACAAACAGGCACAAACAACCAAGCTTCTTGTGTGGCCCACACCCCGTGACATCATTGGTGCTGGCACTGGTACTTCTAAAGGGGCCGCCTGAAGACCAGCTGATGGAGGCAGGAAGTTCGAGCTTGGTTCATGGTGAGTAGGCTCTGAACAGCCTGATTTAGGCAGCCCTAGAAGACAGTGCTCAGGGGAAACCCAATAGGTAGAACTTTGGGTGGTACCCTTGACTACTTCATGTGGAAAGAGTAGTGGCCCCAGTGTTAACACATTTGGAACTCTTGGGCAATGGTTAGTGGCTTGACAGGTTGCTCAGGTACCTGGAATAAGAAAGATGGGAAGATGAGGGACTTCTTGGAGTAAGGCATGTGGAGGGATCTGTGGGAGCATGAAGTACCTCCCACCCAAGAACATTCACCATGAGGACATGCCAAACCACACTAATGGGACGACTTGGCCAATTGACATCTACTAGCCTCTGCCATCTCCTGTGCCCGTCCTGGCACACTGGGCTCTCTCATGGAGTAACCATGGGGTGGGTAGAGGCTGTGCATGGCCCATAGCATGGTGCTCCCCCTTACCAGAGCTCACCTAGCTATTTCTCCACTGAACATCCCATCTTCCAACAACAGAGACCAAACACTGAGTCCCCAGTTGCACCTTCCTTGGAGGGAAACAGTCATTTGACAACTCTGAACCCCTTGTGCCCTAGAAGGTACAGTGATTCATCTTGGCTTGAACCAACACGTGTTACAGGCATGGGTGTGCCTTTCCCATTCTCATGGATTCAGTCACTCCATCATCCAAGTTTCACAGAGCGTTTCATCCACCGGATTCCGCACATGGCCAAGGAACTGCACTAGTGGCCACATGGGAGGGGGAGCCACTGGCTGCCTCACAGCTGCACACCAAGAAGCTGCCAACCTGATGGAACAGCAGGATGGTCTGTGGAAGGCCCAGCTCACCTCATGTGCAGCCTGGAGGTGACACCTGTGATGAAGCAGTCATCTCCAGGGTGCAGTCTGCACTGCAGATCACTGACCATTATGTGGTGCAGTGTCCTCGGTTTGTGTAATAAATGGGTCTGGGAACAAAAATGTGAAAGTCGTCACTCCCAGTTACCCACTTAGAAATCTGTATTTCTACCCCACACGCCTCTGGGTTCTTAAGGTTTAAAGGTCTTGACTCTCAAAGGGAAAAGCTTTCCAGCAGGGGCACAGGAAGAATGCCACTTAATTTCCAGCTGTGGCTGCTGCCTGGTCATTTCGAGCTCCTTGTGCCAAGAAACTGGCTGGCAAGGAATCTAACTTCCATCTTCTAGGGTGACTGACCATGGGCACCAGGAGGAGGTAGAGCTGTTACTACGTAACTGGGGGCAGGGGAAGCACCCAGGTAATGTGATTGGCCACCTCATGGTCCCCTGCCCACATTTGATGGCAAATGCAGGGGTTATGGCCAGAGAATGGCGTGGTGGCCAGGGGTTTACTTCTCAGGGATGAGAGTTTGGGTTATCTGATCAGGGAAGCTAAGCTACATAAAGCAGTAGAGGAGACAGGCAAGGGTGAGGAGACCCTAGCATGGGCAGTAGAGGAAGGAGATAAATGAAATTTGCAACCTCAAGGCCAGCTGCAGCAACAAGATGTAGTTTATCCCAGTCCAGTACCTTTTATAAATTTCCCCAGGAAAAGGCCCACCAGAATCCTGCCAGACTGCCCCCAGAATGTCTCTGAAGCAAGTGGCCATGAGCAGCACAGTGTGGACTGTAGTAAGCACTGTGGCACCCATATTCCCCCTTTTACTGAAGCGCTGTCCCTGCTCCTGGGACAGCCCCACCCCTTGATTGCCTAGCTGCAAAGAACTTTGTCCAAGGGCCCACCACTTCCCCAGGAATGACTGGTCCAGTGACTAGTTTGTGCTGGGGTGTAAAAACCCAGCTCCCTTGCCCCATTGGGAGACACCTCTGCAGGACCATGCTCTGCCCAGGGCAGGCCTTTGAGTGACTACATTCTAGCCATTGTCATCCTTGGTTGGGTTCTGCCTCCTTCTCTCTCCAGTCACCTTTTCAAATGCAAGCCTTCATCACAGAAGTGGTCTCCCAGGGGACCCAACCTGTGCCAGTGTATGTGCCCAACATCTTTATGTGCATAAATGGGGAGATTTGGTCATTATTTCTTAAAATGAGGTCATCGTCTTCAGGTAACCTATAATTGGGAGTCATTTTTACCCCCAGCAATCTATGTTTTAACAAGGTCATTCTTTTCAGTGGATAGCATGTAATTTATTTCTCAGTTTTCTTCTGATTGGTATCTATTTTCAGTCCTTTGTCATAATGGGCAATACTACCGTAAACGTTTTGATTTAAACCTGTTTACTGTTGGATACATTTCTGTGAAACAGCTAAGAGTGAGATTGTTTGGTTAGAGATTATTTGGTTAAGGTGATTGATATTATTTTCAATCTGTTTTTGTTGAAGCGAGAGCACTCTCTCTCTCATATATATATATATATATGACTGAGATACATATATAAATGTATAACAGCACACATATCCTAAGTTAAGTGTTTAGATCAAAATTTCACAAACCTACACCCAGTTCAGGAAACATCGCTAGCATCCCCAGAGGCCTATCTTGAGCTCCCTGTGAGTCACTTTCTCCTCCTGACTCCCAAGAGTGATGTATGTATTGTTAAATTTAATAAATCTTGACAGTTTGCCTTCTAGAAAGATTCTATCTACATTTTTACCAGCAATGCATGAGACTACCTCTTCCCCTCTGTTTCCAGTTATAGTTAATTTGCATTTCCCTGAATATTGTATTTGTTTCCTGTTTGGGTTTTCTATTTTGTGTATTGCCTCTTCCTGTCCTTTGCTTATTTTTCTGTTGAGTTGTTCGTCTTACCTTGTAAATGTATAAGAACTTGTTGCATAATATAGCCATTAACCCTTTGTCACTTTGGTTCCAAAGAGTTTTCCCAACGCATTTCTTTTCTTTTTGATGTGGTGCTAGTTGTACCAGCCCTATTAATTAATATGTCCTTTTCTATTGAATTGAAATACTATCTTTGTTATATGTAAAGTCTTGGGATCAGTCTCTAGGTTGTCTGTTCTGTTCTAGAGGTCTTTTCTCTCTCTTTTTTTTTAAACTTACATTTCTTATCTCTTTTTACTTTGAAATTGTTTCATTAATTTAAAATATCCCTGTAGGGTCTCCAATTGGAATTGTCTTAAATTTGGAAGAATTGAACATTTTGTGATATATATCCTAATGCTATGTCTTCTCATTTTACAGACCTTGTTTTATGCCATTTAATAAAATTTTACATTTTCATCTTTAAAGGCCTTGTATCTTTTCTGTTATATTTATCCTAAGTGTAATGTGTTTATATTGTAAGTGAAATATTTTCCCCTATTTGCATTTCTAGGCTGTTATTGTTCCTGCAGGGGAAATGTATGTCACAGTGGTTAAGAGTACAGACTCCCAAATCATACTGCCTGGGGTTGAATCCTGGTTCTATCACTTACTGTTCAGCCCAGGCTTATTAAAGTAAAAACAAAATATAAGTTAGAAATTTATATTAATGATGTTTTACTGAACCTTTAATTGTTCCACTTCGGTATTCAGTCTAAGAATCTCCTTAAACCTTTAATACTTTTAAGGTTTCTATAAATGTTGACCTTAGGTTTTTAGAGTTATGTATTCAAATGCAAATGCCAAATAATGATTTTTAATAAACATTTTATGATTATATAGATCTGCAATTAACTTGAAGGTACTTTACATAAATATTTATTGCAGTGGTACTAAGCATTTTAGTTGTGAATTTTATTACATTGTTTTAAGTAAGTTAATAATGAGTAAATAAGCATGATTATAGAGGAGATTTCAGTGTTTAGGTAACTGTATGACCCTGATTTTAATGTTTCTTTAATGCCCCATGTTTGTTTTTTGTTGTTTTTAAAAGCTATGGAAGTGATAAACAAGTCCAGTGTTAAGTATTCAGTACAACTTCAAGATGGGAAGAATCAATCAGAAAAAAAGGTAAATCATTGCAAATATGAGTAATTTTAAACCTTATTTGTTCAACAGGCACTTGTTAAGTGTCCTACGATGTACTAGGCACTGTAGATACAACAGTTAAAAAAGAGGAGTTCTTGCTCTCCAGGAGCTTAAGTTTAATTTGGATGCAGGGAAGGGCAAGACAGTGAAATAGGATAGACATCTACGATACAAAGTAAGTGCCGTTAGAGAAGTAAGTTTAGAGTGCTCTGGGGACAATTGGAGGAACATCTAACTCAGTTTTTGTGCTATTTAATTTTACTCTTCTGGGTGTTGAGGAGGAGAATCAGGGATGTCTTTCTGAAGTATGAAAATTATATCTGAATTGAGATCTATTGGATGATTAGGAGTTGGTCAACCTAGGCTGGATGTGTCCCAGCACGTTGGGAGGCTGAGGTGGGTGGATCACTTGAGGCCAGGAATTTGAGACCAGCTTGGGCAGCATAAGGAGAGCCTGTCTCTACAAATAATACCCCCCCTCCAAAAAAAAATTAACTGGGCATGTTGGCATGCTCCTGTAGTTCCAGCTACTCAAGAGGCTAAGGCTGGAGGATCACTTCAGCCAAGGAGTTTGAGTCTGCAGTGAGCTGTGATTGCACCACAGCACTCCAGCCTGAGCAACAGAGCAAGACTATGTCTCTAAAAAAAGTAGGTTCCCACCTTTAAGGGAGCAGGTGCAGGACATTGAGAAAATTTTCAGATTAGGGGAAGAAAGCTTGGAACTTTGGGGTAGTAGAAATGATAGAAGTTCCGAAAGGCAGGAATATAACATTCGCAATGGGTGTTATGTGGTATGTGCTAGAGAGGAGATAGAAAAGGTCATATCACCAAAGGCCTTGTGTATGAAAGTGGCGGAGGCAACATAGTGATTAAGAAAGTGAACTTTGGAGTACACTGTCTGTGTTCAAGTCCCAACCTAACTAAATTTAAACCTAAACTCCCTATAATAAAGTGAGATGCTAGTACCTGTCTCGGGTTGATGGAACAATTATTTGCCCCTGGGTTCGTAGGATGATTATCTGCCCTTGGAGTAGAGGGAGGAGGCATCTTCTACAGAGAAGGGACTCTTCTCTTCTTCTCTCTGTAAGTGAATGGAAATTGTATCTCTCAGCAGTGAACAAAATGTGTTCCTTGGATCCCGAAGGCACGGGTCTGCAAACTTTTTGCTCCCTTTCTCTCAAAAGAATTTTGTGGGTCTTTTTTGTTATTGTTGTTCTTTTGTATGTTTGAGACAGGCCCTCACTGTTTCACCCAGGCTGGAGTGCAGTGGTGTGATCACAGCTCACTGCAATCTCTACCTCCTGGACTCAAGTGATCCTCCCACCTCAGCCTCCTGAGTAGCTGAGACTACAGGCACACAGGATCATGCCCAGCTAATTTTTGTATTTTTGGTAGAGACTAGGGTTTCACCATGTTGTCCAGGCTGGTCTCAAACTCCTGGGCTCAAGTGATCCTGCTGCCTTGGCCTCCGAAAGTGCTGAGATTACAGGCATGAGCCCCCACACCTGGCCTTCTTGAACTATATATATATTGCCTGACATATTTTAAAGTTGAAATTTAAAATCTTTGTCACAAGTTTAAAAAATTGCAAAGTGGTGGGGCATGGTGGCTCATGCCTGTAATCCCAGCACTTTGGGAGGCCGAGGCAGGTGGATCACGAGGTCAAGAGATTGAGACCATCCTGGCCAACATGGTGAAACTCCATCTCTACTAAATAATACAAAAATTAGCTGGGCATGGTGGCATGTGCCTGTATGTAGTCCCAGCTACTTGAGAGGCTGAGGCAGGAGAATTGCTTGAATCCAGGAGGTGGAGGTTGCAGTGAGCTGAGATCGTGCCACTGCACTCCAGCCTGGCGCCTGGGGACAGAGTGAGACTGTCTGAAAAAAAAATTGCAAAGTACATGATTTCTGCTATATTGTTAGTATTGACATTTTTACTGTTACATTACCATTTAAAATATATTCATGGAAATTACTGCACTTTGACAACTCGATATCCACAATCATCGCTTTTATTATTATTATTATTGTATATTTTTGAGACAGTCTCACTCTGTCACCCAGGCTGGAACGTAGTGGTATGATCTTGGCTCACTGCAACCTCCACCTCCCATGTTCCAGCGATTCTCCTGCCTCAGTCTCCCGAGCAGCGGACTGCAGGCGCACACCACCACACCCGACTAATTTTTGTATTTTTAGTAGAGATGGGGTTTCACCATGTTGGCCAGGCTGATCTTGAACTCTTGACCTCGTAATCCGCCAGCCTCGGCCTCCTAAAGTGCTGGGATTACAGGCGTGAGCTATTGCACCCGGTCCCAAAAAAATTTTTAGTAGATAGATTAACATATTATTGAATAGTTTTGGTGATTTCATTTTCTCTATAAATGGCCTTTATTTGGAAGTTGTAAATTATTAATCTTCTCTTTTATGCACATATGTAACATACTTCTATCCATGACATCTCTCGTTACATGCATGATTCCTAGAACAGGGGCTGGTTGGAGGCTTTTGAGCGTTTTTTTTTTTTTTTTTTGAGATGGAGTTTCGCTCTTGTAGCCCAAGCTGGAATGCAATGGTGTGATGTTGGCTTACTGCAGCCTCTGCCTCCCAGATTCAAGAGATTTTCTTGCCTCAGCCTCCTGAGTAGCTGGGGTTACAGATGCCTGTCACCACACCTGGCTAATTTTTGTATTTTTAGTAGAGACAGGTTTCACTATGTTGGCCAGGCTTGTCTCAAACTCCTGACCTCAGGTGATTCACCCACCTCAGCCTCTCAAAGTGCTGGGATTACAGGCATGAGCCACCATGCCTGGCCAGCTTTTGAGCTCTTGATTCAGATATGCATGCCTACCTTTGTTGAGAAAAATCACTGCTCTAGAAGACATTATATGGTTTCCTTAGAAGATCTGATCATAGATAATATGAAGATCTTGTATACATATTACCTTAGACAAGTTTTACCAAAAATTAGTTTGGTTTATAGCTCTGTCCTATGAATCCATATTCTAATGAAATATTTTCCATTTTTCTGTAGAATCTTAAATCTTTAGCAAGTCAGACATCAAGAGGTTCCACCGAGCTCTCTCCTCAGGCCTTCAGTGTCAGCCTCACAGATCAGCTGTCGATCGACCAAAAACAGAAGAGCATCAGCTCATTGACTCTTTCCAGTTGTTTAATTCCACAGTATAATCAAGAGGATTCAGTTGTACAGAAAAAGGAACATAAAATAATGTATTTTCTAACAGAGAATATAAATAATGAAAATAAAGGAAGCATTACTTTTAAAAGAAAACATATTACATCTAATAATTCAGAGCAAATAAGTAAACAAATGGCATTGGAAGAAGATACTGATGAGGCTGAAGCCTACCTGAATTCTGGGAACTCAGGAGCATTAAAAAAACATTTTTGTGATATTAGGTATTTGGATGACTGGGCAAAAAGCCAGCTGATGGAAATGCTCAGACAGGCAGCAGCCCTGGTGGTGACTCTAATGTATACTGACGGTTCCACCCAGTTAAGAGCCGACCAGGTTGGTACACAGTGATGGCTTTTGTTTGTTGTCTTGACACCATAAAAGAAGCCCATTTTCTTAGTGTCTGATTTTGATAGGAGAGCTAAAAACAAAATGTTAAGGCTTTCCCTCCCCTCCAGTGTAAGTGGTTGACAATGTATACTCCCATCAGTTTTTTAGGAATCTGCAAAGCTGTTTTCCAGAGTGGGTGTACCATTTTACCTTCCACCAGCAGCATACTAGGGCTTCAAATTCTTCACCTCCTTCTCAACACTTGTCTGTTTTTTGGTTTTAGTCATTCTAGTGATTCGGATGTGGTATTTCATGATGGTTTTACATTGTATTTCTCTATTATCTAGTAACATTGAGCATCTTTTCATGTGCTTATTGGCCATTCATATATCTTCTTTGATGAAATGTCTGTTCAGATTTTTTGCCTATTTTAAAGTTGGGTTATTTGTGTTTTATTCTGGATCTGTAAGCATTCTTTATTCTGATACAAGTCTCTTATAATATGTATCATTTATACTTCTCCCAATCTGTGTCTTATTTTTTCAAAAATTTCTTTAGGGTGGTGGCTTACACTTGTAATCTCAGCACTTTGGGAGGCTAAGGCGGGCAGATCACCTGATGTCAGGAGTTCAAGACCAGCCTGACTAACATGGAGAAACCCCATCTTACTAAAAACATGCAAAAAATTAGCCGGGCGTGGTGGCACATGCCTGTGATCCCAGCTACTCGGGAGGCAAGAGAATCGCTTGAACCCAGGAGGCGGAGCTTACAGTGAGCTGAGATTGTGCCATTGCACTCCAGACCGAGCAACAAAAACAAAACTCCATCTCAAAAAAAAAAAAAAAAATTTCTTGAGGGTGTCTTTCAAAGCACAAACATTTTTTGATTTGATGATCTCTATTGATTTTTTAAAATTTGTTCTTCCTTTCTCTCCTCCCTTCCTTTTCTTCCTTTTCTTTCTTTTTCTTTCCCTCCCTTCCTTTCTGCTTTTCTTTTCTTTCTTCCCTTTCTTTTGTTTCTTTCCAGAGAAGCTCTGGCTCTGTTGCCCAGTACAATGGCATGATCTCAGTTTACTGCAACCTCCACCTCCCAGGCTCAAGCCATCCTCTCACCTCAGCCCCTAGAATAGCTGGGACTAAAGGTGCTCGCCATGATACTTAGCTAATTTTTGTACTTTTTGTAGAGATGGGGTTTCCCCATGTTGCCCAGGCTGGTCTTGAACTCATGAGCTCCAACAGTCTGCCTGCCTTGGCCTCCCAAAGTGCTGGGATTACAGGTGTGAGCCACTGTGCCCAGCCTTATTGTTTTGTTATTGTGTATAAGAATGCTTTGCTTGTCCCAGGTTATGAAAATTTATTCCTGTTTTATTCTAAGAGGTTTTTTTTTTTTTTTTTTTTTTCCTTGAGGTGGAGTTTCACTCTTGTTGCCCAAGCTGGAGTGCAATGGCACGATCTTGGCTCACTGCAACCTCCACCTCTTGGGTTCCAGCAATTCTCCTGCCTCAGCCTCCTGAGTAGCTGGGATTACAGGTGCCCACCAACACTCCTGACTTATTTTTAGTATTTTTAGTAGAGTCAGGATTTTACCATGTTGACCAGGCTGGTCTCGAACTCCTGATCTCAGGTAATCCACCTGCCTCGGCCTCCCAAAGTGCTGGGATTACAGGCATGAGCCACCGCTGCCTGGCCTATTCTAAGAGTTTTATAGTTTTAGTTCTTACATTTAGATCTGTGATCTATTTAGAGTTTTTTTGTGTATGGGATGAGATAAGGCACAGATTCAACCTTTGCATGTGGCTCTTCAGTTTTCCCTGTACCATTTGTTGAAAAGACTCTCCATTGAATTTTCTTGACACTTTCATTGAAAATCAATTGACTATAAATCTAAGGGTTTATTTTTGGACATTCTTTTCATTAGCGTTTGTGTCTAACCTTATGCCACTACCACCCTATCTTGCTTATTAGGGCTTTTTAAAATTATTTTTAAAGTTTTTTTTTTTATTTCCATAGATTGTTGGGGAACAGGTAGTGTTTGGTTACATGAGTAAGTTCTTGAGTGGTGATTTGTGACCACTTGGCGCACCCACCCAAGCAGGATACACTGCACACAGTTTGCAGTCTTTTATTCCTCACCCCCTTCCCACCCTTTCCTCCTGAGTCCCTGAAGTCCGTGGTGTAATTCTTACGCCTTTGCATCCTCATAGCTTTGCTTCCATTTATGCGTGAGAACATATATTGTTGGTTTTCCATCCCTGAGTTACTTCACTTAGAATAATAGATTCCAGTCTCATCCAGGTCACAGCGAATGCCATTCATTTATTCCTTTTTACGGCTGAGTGGTATTCCATCGTATGTATATACCACAGTTTCTTTATCCACTCCTTGATTGATAGGCATATGGGTTGGTTCCACGTTTTTGCCATTGTGAATTGTGCCACCATAACCATGAGTGTGCAAGTAACTTTTTTGTATAGTGACTTGTTTTCCTCTGGGCAGATACCCAGTAGTGGGATTGCCAGATTAAATGGTAGTTCTATTTTTAGTTCTTTAAGGAATTTCCACACTGTTTACCATAGTGGTTGTACTAGTTTACATTACCATCAGTAGTATAGAAATGTTCCCTGTTCACTGCATCCATGCTAATATCTATTATTTTTTGACGCTGATTATGGCCATTCTTTCAGGAGTAAGGTGGTATCGCATTGTGGTTTTGATTTGTATTTCCCTGATCATTAGTCATGTTGAGCATTTTTTCATGTCTGTTGGCTATTTGTATATCTTCTTTTGAGAATTATCTATTCGTGTCCTTAGCCCACTTTTTGATGGGATTGTTTGTTTTTTTTCTTGCTACTTTGTTTGAGTTCGTTGTAGATTCTGGATATTAGTCCTTTGTCAGATATATGGGTTTTGAAAATTTTCTCCCGTTCTGTGAGTTGTCTGTTTATTCTGCTGACTCTTCCTTTTGCCATGCAAAAGCTCTTTAGTTTAATTAAGTCCCAGCTATTTATCTTTGTTTTTATTGCATTTGCTTTTGGGTTCTTGGTCATGAAATCCTTGCCTAAGCCAGTGTCTAGAAGGATTTTTCCTAAGTTATCTTCTAGAATTTTTATAGTTTCAGGTCTTAGATGTAAGGATTTAAGTCCTTGATCCATCTTGAACTGATTGTACCTGTCAGAAATTTCAACAAATTATTCAGCATCATTTGTTGAATAGGGTGTCTTTTTTCCACTTACATTTTTGTTTGCTTTGTCAAAGATCAGTTGGCTGTAAGTATTTGAGTTTATTTCTCGGTTCTCTATTCGGTTTAATAGGTCTATGTGCCAATTGTTATACCAGTACTTTGCTGTTTTGGTGACAATGGCCTCATAGTATAGTTTGAAATCAGGTACTGTGATGCCTCCAGATTTGTTCTTTTTGCTTAGTCTTGCTTTGGCTATGTAGGTTTTTTTTTTTTTTAATATGAATTTTAGGTTTGTTTGTTATAGTTCCGTGAAGAATGATGGTGGTATTTTGATGGGAATTGCACTGAATTTGTAGATTGCTTTTGGCAGTATGATCATTTTCTTCCTTTTTATTTTATATATATTTTTTAAGACGGAGTCTCTCTGTCACCAGGCTAGAGTGCAGTGGCACATTCTCAGCTCACTGCAACATTCGACTCCCTGGTTCAAGTGATTCTCTTGCTTCAGCCTCCTGAGTAGCTGAGACTGCACGCACACACCACCATGTCCAGCTAGTTTTTTTTTTTTTATGTTTAGTAGAGATAGGGTTTCACCATGTTGGCCAGGATGGTCTTGATTCCCCGACCTTGTGATCTACCTGCCTTGGACTCCCAGAGTGCTTGGATTACAGGCATGAGCCACCGTGCCTGGGCAGTATGGTCATTTTCACAATACTGATTCTACCCGTCTGTGAACATGGGATGTGCTTCCATTTGTTTGTATCATCTATGATTTCTTTCAGCAATGTTTTGTAGTTTTCCACATAGAGGTCTTTTGCCTCCTTGATTAGGTATATTCCTAAGTATTTTAATTTTTTGCAGCTATTGTAAAGGGGTTGAGTTCTTTTTTTTTTTTTTTTTTTTTTTTTTTTGGGACGGAGTTTCGCTCTCGTTACCCAGGCTGGAGTGCAATGGTGTGATCTCGGCTCACCGCAACCTCCGCCTCCTGGGTTCAGGCAATTCTCCTGCCTCAGCCTCCTGAGTAGCTGGGATTACAGGCACACGCCACCATGCCCAGCTAGTTTTTTGTATTTTTAGTAGAGACGGGGTTTCACCATGTTGACCAGGATGGTCTCGATCTCTCGACCTCCTGATCCACCCGCCTCGGCCTCCCAAAGTGCTGGGATTACAGGCGTGAGCCACCGCGCCCGGCCGGGGTTGAGTTCTTGATTTGATTCTCAGCTTGTCCACTGTTGGTGTGTAGAGGACCTACTGATTTGTGTACTTTCATTCTGCATCCAGAAACTTTGCTGAATTCTTTCATCAGTGCTAGGAGCTTTGTGGAGGAGTCTTTAGGATTTTCTATGTAAACAGTTATATCATCAGCAAACAGTGACAGTCTGACTCCCTCTTTATCGATTCGAATGCCCTTTATTTCTTCCTCTTGTCTGACTGCTCTGGCGAGGACCTCGTGTGCTGTGTTGAAGAGAAGTGCTAAGATTGGGCATTCTTGTCTTGTTCCAGTTCTCAGGGGGAATGCTTTCAACTTTCTCCATTCAGTATTATGTTGGCCGTGGGTTTATAATAGATGGCGTTTATTACATTGAGGTATGTCCCTTGCATGCCAACTTTGTTGAGATTTTTAATCATAAAGGCATGCTGGATTTTGTTGAATGCTTTTTCTGCGTCTATTGAGATGATCATGTGATTTTTGTTTTTAATTGTTTATGTGGTGTATCACATTTATTGACTTGCATATGTTAGACCATCCCTGCATCCCTGGTACGAAACCCATTTGATCATGGTGAATTGTCTTTTTGATAAGTTGTTGGGTTTGGTTAGCTAGT